GGCGAGCCCCTCGGCCGCATAACCTTTGAGCTCTTCAAGGACGTGGTGCCGCGCACGGCCGAGAACTTCCGACAGTACTGCACGGGCGAGCACCGCAGCGCCCAGGGCCGCCCGCAGGGCTACAAGGGCTCGCGCTTCCACCGCATCATCCAGGACTTCATGTGCCAGGGCGGCGACTTTTTGCACGGCGACGGCACCGGCTCGGCCTGCATCTACGGCACCAAGAGCTTCGCCGACGAGAACTTTGTGCTCAAGCACGACCAACCGGGCCTGCTCTCCATGGCTGTGCGTTTTCTTCTTCTTCTTCTTCTTCTTGTTGTTCTGTTTTCTCTCTTCCACTTGCTGCCATCTTCATTGCTGACTTCATGCCTCCCCTCTCCCCCCCACCCCAGAACTCGGGCCCAAACACCAACGGCTCTCAGTTCTTCATCACCACCAAGCCCACGCCTTTCCTCGACAGCAAGCATGTCGTCTTTGGCAAGGTCGTCGACGGCATGGACGTCGTGAGGAAGATGGAGGCCACCAAGACGGGCCACCGCGGCAAAGACATGCCCAACCTAGATGTCATAATCGCCCAGTGTGGCGAAATGTGAATGCGGGGAGATTTGAAGGGGCAGCTGATAGATGAAAGGACTTGTGGGAATGTATCCCTTTTTTATTCTCTAATAGCCTACGGGACATGACCCTCATGAGTATGTCGCACAGAAGTAAGTCAACATTGATCGCATGAGAGCTCATGACATTGGTTACTTGACACTTGACATCGAATGTTACTCGCAGCTGAAAACCCACGGCATCTGCTTTAGACGAAGCTAAACTATGGTGACTGATCTGATCATCTCGCCAAGAAAGAGACCGACTGTCTAGATAGCTAAGTTGCTGCAAGAAACAAGAACCTGAGAACTCAACGACCTCCGGGGTTCGACCCCTGAAGAAAATTCACGCAACGCGTGTGGCCCTTGGGGCCTCGCAATGATGGTAAGAAAGGAATGGGCGGGGAATGGATGACTGAAATGAAACGGAGAAAGGGTATCTTCAACAATGCAATGGATCGGAAATATGTCTGTCTCCCTGAACGCCCATCATTTCATGCCACGGGGCCTCAAGCCCTTTTCCCTTGGACTCCTTTCCCATGTGAAAAAAACCAATGCCAAAAACAAAACTTGAAAACAAGACATTCAGTAACGTAAAATCCGTGTGCTAGTATGCGGATGCTGGGCTCTCGCTGTTTAGAGAACCTGTTTCATCGATATCCCCGCAGATGAAAACGAAAACGAAAAAAAAGGCACGCCGGAAAAAGGTAAGCCAGAAAGAAATGATTCAAGATGTACAGGGAAAAGAAGGCTATCTTCTCCCTGGAAGGAGGGAGAAGATAGAAGAAGTGAAGAAGAATAAGGCAAACGTAGGGACAGAAAGCAGTCCCTTACGCCCCGGGAATGCTCTACCGTTTAGGGAGCAGCGCCGTACCAACCCTGGCCACGGCGGCGGATAGAGGGTGTGATTTTGGCAGAAGAGGTAGCCGACGTGGTGACGACGGCACGGCTCGGAGCATCGACAGTCACAGTCTTGGTCTGGATCGCAGCCGAGGGCGTAACATAGACCGTGGTCATGCCCTTGGTGACGGTGACGTACTTGATGCGCGAGGTGTGGGTAGAGGTCGAGGTAAAAGCCGTGGTGGTAGGCTTGGGAGGAAGCGACGGCGCCGGCGTCGTCGCACTTGGTGGGGAGCTACCGCCGCTGCCACCATTGCCTCCAGCTGCCCCGCCGTTCATCTTGACTTGGAACCTGCCGATAGAGAGCTGGTCCGGGATGGCGGCAAGCTTCAGGTCCTGCTTCTTGTTGAAGTTGAAAGAGAGGCTGCTAGACGAGGCGGCACCGTTGGTGTCGGCAGCTGCCTTGCTGCCGCCGCCGCCGCCGCCGCTGCACTTGGGGCCCTTGACCTCACCGAGGTCGGTGCTGCACTGGTCGACGATGGCGATCTCCATGCACGAGCTGTACATCTCGATGGTGGTGACCTTGACGTTACCCAGATGCTCATTGTCGGGGGCACCCTGTCTCGTGGAAATGGTGCTGTAGTCCCAGACCCAGTACAGGGTGACGTCCTGACCAGGCTTGACATTGTCGGGCAGCTGGATGTCGTTCTGGCACCAGTGGTTCATACCCTGGCCATCGGTCGACGCTTGGTTGGGGATCTTGAACTCCGACTTCCTCTCGTCGGCGTTGGGGTTGCCATCCTCGTAGCAGCGCCCGTCGTCGTAGTTCCTGGTGGCCAGGAGCCAGCCAGACTTGTCGCCTCCGTTTCCGTCAGCGGTCCACTTCTTGTGGACGTTGTCGAACTGCTCGTTGTCCTTGGGCTTGGTGGTGGCGTAGATGTAGACGGTGCCCTGGTTCTTTGGCTTGGGAGGCGAGTCCATCCACTTTGTGACGTGGCCGTTCTCCAGATACCTGAGGGCAATCATGTCGCCGGGCGCAGCCTTGAGCTTGGGAAACTTGGGATCCTTGTAGCTGTTGGCGACGGACTTGCCAGTGGCGGGGTTGCAAATCGGCTGTCCGGCGGTGCTGTCGATAATCTTCATCATGTTGAGATTGGCATCGCCGGTACGGGGCACGTAGCTGCGCGAAAATCCAGGAGGATCCAGGAGTTTGCCGCTCGGGCCGATGCGCTTCGCCTGCTCAACCCACGAGTGGGCGGCGACAAGCTGCTGGCCAGAGAGGAGAAGCAGCGCAGAGGCGGCGGTGGTGGTGGTGAACTTCATCTCGGCGTTTGTTGACGGGGAGAGATGGCGAGAAGTGGTTTGAGTGATGATTGGGAAAAAAGATAGGTAGGTTTGTCTCGAGTGATAGAGAGATGCGAGCTGGCGAGCTGGCTGAGATGCTTGTTTGTGTTTCGAAAGTGGAACTATTCTCGAGAGGAAGAAGAAAGAAGAAGAGAAAAAGCTGCGCGCAGGGCAGGGTAGGGTGCCTGGTTATCAAGATGCTCCGGGGCGTTCGACGGTCGCGCTGCGAACTTCTTTGAACAATGGGAGAGAAGAACCGTAAGAAGAGAACGGAGAGATTGTCAAAGGAGGGCGGTGGCGTGGCGTGCCGAAGAAAGAGAAGGATTTGTTGGTTATTCCGGAACAAGTTCTTTGTTGTTGTTGTTGTTGCTGCTGCTGTTGTGTGGGCTTTGTGGGCTTGGAGCCGCCTCGAAGGGTGAGGATGGAGCCGAAGAAAGCGGGCAGCGAGCAGGAACCAGAGACGGAGGAGGGGGGGCGAGGGGGGACGGAAGGAGCAGAAAGAAAAAGATTATGTAGAAGGGCGGGCTGGCTGGTGGGCTGGCCGGCGGGTGTGTGTTCGGTGAGGGAAGGAGCGATCACGCGCGGCGTGGAAGGCGGTCAGTCCTGCTGAATGGGGCCGAAGAAAGAAATGAATAGGGAACCACCGAGTCACTCTGCTTCCCGTCACCCGTTGCTCACAAAGACATTGTGGTCGTCCAAGCTGACCCAACAATGAAACGCCACCAGGTGTCCTTCTAGCCCCCTCTTCCTTGTTTTGTCCTCAGTCCCTTTGTCTTTCTGTCCCCTTGGGTGGTTGGCGCGCAAAAGAGCAGCGAGATATTGATCTCAAGGTGAGTCGAAAGTACAAGTTACCAGGCGAGTGGATTTTGGTGATGTCTGATCAGATGAATAATGTGTCTGGCTGCTGGCTGCTGGCTGTTGAGGATGCTTGACCGGGCAAGACGTGGTGATTAAATGTGAGTGTATTACAGGGTGTGACGGTGAGGCGAGTTGGGGATGACAGCGAGGTGACAGCCAGGTGAGAGGCACGACGAGCAGGAGGAGGAGGAGGGGCCCCAGGGTCTATGTAAGTCGTGGTGCCGGGCCTGAGCAATAAACAAAAACGGGTCCCCGCAGCACAGGCCGTAGTTCGGGAAACAAATTTGCAGCAGGGGTGTGCACAGGATGGGATGGGATGGAAGAAAGATGGACCAAAGATTACTAGATGCCGCATTCACTGGGCCTCGAGGCATTCTCGCGGAGACATGGCTAACGGGGGGCAGGGGGTTACGAAGCCCATAGATGAGGAAGGGCGGGCCCATATCGGAAGGCCCTCGAGCTCTGTCGCCTGTAACGAAATGCAGGCCAAGGTACCCGCCCATCCCGTTCAACAGCTCAGTACCCTGTCGTTCATGGTCCAGACAGGGGTTGGGTGCGCCGCCAGATATGCGAGGCCCCGTGCAGGGTTGGTATTGTGGTATTCCTGCCAAAGCTTGGCTCGCGCATCATCATGGCGATCACTGGATTTTCCCATGCGGCCGGCATAGGGCAGCAGCAAACAGCGCCCGCGGGGCTGTAACCATTGTGTCGCATGTGGGAGCCAGTCAAAGCAGAGGTGACGGGTAAAAAAAAATAAGGGCACACACTAGTCCACAGCTTGTCACCTTGCCCACAGCCCGTGTGGCAGAGCAGGGCGGGCCGCGTCGGACATGTACACGCATGGATGCACTAATGCAGCGTTGATGGCACGGAAGAATGCGTGGTGGCTCTCCGGCCGGTTGGCGTGTTCGATGGACAAGCAACAGCGGCCAGCGATGGGCTGCTGGGCGTGGACACGCAGCGGGGCGCGTGGTGGCTAGTGCGCGGCAGTAGGCGCCGGTGTGGACGAGGCGATATGAGTCTACTAGTATTTCGTGCCTGCGTGTATGCGCTAGTCCTGGATACGATCCTATTCTCGACGGGGAACAGCACGTCGAGCCCCAGAGTGGGGTGGGGAGTCGAGTCGAGTTGAGCCCCATGCAGGCGCCTTTCCGGGCTGCAGGGATCCCGATGCGAATCGATCGTCGGCTTCTGGCCCAGCTTGTCACTCGCGCCCAAGTGGCTCTCCAACTCCCCAGGTGGGCGCCCACCACACCACCGGCGGCGGACCCTGGCCATCTGGAACACCAGGCTGCTGCAGGGGCTCATGCAGGCCATTCCCATCCAGTCGCCCCCAGCGCGGGTCTGTGCGCCAGCCATCGGTTGCAGCAGCCAGTGCTGAGCCGCGAACCAGTGGCTGCCGTGTCTTCTGAGTACCCACCACATCCCAGCACCACCAAAGCTTCCGAGTCGGCTGCCACACGCGCGGCCGGCGGCGGCTAAAACATCAAGCGCTGGCGGCCATGGACGCTGGGTAGGTATGTAATCTGCCATCAGGCCCGTTGCTGCGCCCACATGGTATAATCTCCGTATGCGCCCTCCGAGAAAACAGTCGACCCGTCCGAGAGACCCAAGCTCGACGGACGGAAATGTCGGGCGTCTTCGTCATGGTCTTTGCATGCGGCGCATGCAGTCGGCACGTACATTATACTATACATTTGTACTATACGTATTGAGGAAATGGGGATGCTGTAGGCACCAAAACGCTTGACAGCGGCGATTCCTTCCGTCTTGTTCGCCGCCCGGACCAAAACTGTGCGTGAATGTTTCAACCTTAATCGTGCTGGTCAAGGTTCATCGCAACTCGATTCTTCGGACGACAAACATACGGAGTATGCGCGAACGCGAGATGGTTGCATCTGCAAGATGAGATGGACGGCCCTTCCTGGTTGCGATGCCCATTTCCTCTAGCCGCCGCCGCTCGTGCCACCAAAGCTGTGCACTGCTGCTATTTTCTGCCTTCCAATCTGATTCCGCGCCCTTGGGACTCGACTCCTGCTGCCATGAATCAATGGAATTGGCACCCATTAGCACCCTGTTTCATTGCGTCATCGCAACTCTTCGCACTTGCCGCCGGTTGATTGCAGGGCGTCCATGGGGCTGGTCCCGCCCAAGCTGGGAATCCACTCTGCTGTTTCCAATGCGATGGAATTGTCGGCGGCGCCAAACGAGGCAGAAAAGAAGAAAAGAGAGAAAAAAAAAACGCGCGAAGAGGAAAAGGGGCGGGGATTTTTCGATGCGGAATTACCGGTCGCTTCGGCCGGCGACAGAATGCCTGCTTGTAAAGCTGCTACTATGTGTCCTCAGCTCTTTATACTGACTAATTTTGTGATGCGCTGTAATGGAGTATTCAACCGGTGTTTGATCTTCTCCCTCTCCCTCTCCCTCTCCCTCTTCTTGTTGTGGTCTCTACCAAAATCAATTTATCCCATTTCATCCCTCTGTGAAAAGTGGCAAATCAACCCCCAAAGCCGGTGGCCCCCCTTTTAACCCCTCCCCATCCGCCCAACGCTGCAAATGTTTCAAAGACCCATAACAGGCGAACCGGCAATGCTTGCCACCGCGGGTACATCGTAGGTAGCACTTTCCCCCAGATCGCCCTCGCTTCGAGAAAGGAAAGCCGCCCGTCTCGCCCCTCTTTCAATGAACGGATCCGACGATGACCAGCAAGGCCCCCCTTTTCTGGCGCCGCCGTGAAACCGCAACAACCCTCCTCTTCTCCGCCTTACTCGGCCGTCTTATATCTGGAACCTCGGATGGCTCCTGCGTGCTTTCATTTGACCGGTGCCTCTTCTCTGCCCAGCGCTCCCTGTCGCAGAGGACGGTATCTTTGCGCTATTTGTCAGGGCGAAGCGCCGGCGCCTGTGCTCTTGGGGGAGAGACGCCGGGATGAGTAGAAAGCCAGACTGACTGGGCTGGCTTGGCCTTGGGTGGCCGGATGGATAGGGCAAGGGTCGGATCGCTTGGGAGATGATTTTAACTTGGTCTTGTGATGTTCTCTTGTTCTTGGCCGCATCCGTGAACCCTTATTTTTCGTCCCATGTTGTTGCCCAAAAGAGTTATTGGACGCTTCCGTGCCAAGGCCACGGACACGCGCCCGAGTCTAACCTCGAGGCTGGCGCAAGGACAAAGCCCGGTCCGCCATGTTCTACGACGTGCACGGGTCGGCTTCCAATTTAGACCAACAAATTATTCCCAACATTATCCTACCAGCTACTCGCTGAAGCGTCGAATTGCAGTTCAGCATACTTTTCTTGTCCTCCGTGATCTCATGTCGAATAAAAGTCCCAGCCCAAGAATGAAAAGAAAAGAACAGAACAGGAAGTACCAGAAGAGAGAGAGAGAGAGAATAAAACGAGTCTAATCCCCCGAGCCCCGGGTAGCCAAGCAGATCCTGGCCATTCCCTGGTCCTCGGAACGTCTAACCAGTGTCTTGCGACTTCCGTGTTGTGTTTTGTGTTTGCCCTGGGCTGGGACGAGGAGAAAATGCCTCAAAGGAGATCCGAAATCCGGCCAAGCCAAAAGGAAGGGGGAAGGAAAAAGTACGCTCTCGCCCAAACTCCCCGTTATCCCAGTTACCCCCACCAACCAATCAGGATCGTGAAATTCGTATTCAGACATGTCAAAGAGGGGGAAGAAGAAAGGCGAGGAGAAGGGTGTAAAAGAGATAGAAAGAGAGAGAGATCAGAAACAGAAAAAGGACCCTATTTCTCAAACTCATTCTTGAGCCAGACGGGCGAATCCTCCTCATGCTCCTCAACGTACTTGGCGTCGGCTACGCTGGCGTAGCTCTCGAGCCTCGGGTAGCTCAGCCGCGGGCCCATGACGGCGTAGAGACCCTGCGAGTCACCGTCGTCGTCCTGGCGGGCGCGCTTGAGCGGCCTCACGGTCCTGTTGACGCTCTGGCTGTGCTGCAGCTGCTGCGTCGTCGCCTGCTGGTACCGTTGGGGCACCGCGTCCCAAGGCGAGGAGGGGTGGTGGTGCGGGCCGCCCACGACTGATGCTGCTGCTGCGGTGCCACCGCCGCCGACGCCGTGGACTGACCACTGGCTGCTCGCGCTGCCGCCGTCCATATCGGCCGCCGGCATGCCGTGCGGCGCCGCGTCCCAGCCGTAACCGCTCAGCGATGACGAGAGAAAAGGATCGACGGCCGAGTCGACAGCGCTGTCGGCGGCCGAGCTGGTCGACATGAAGCTGATGTTGGGCGCCATGCTAGACGTGGTTAGTTGCGCCAGCGATGAAGGCGGTATCTGCGCGACGGGCGCTACGCTGCCGTGCCCGTAAGACGACGAGACCAGGGTCGGCGGGGCCGGGGGCGGCGTCGTGAGCCCGCCGCCGACGTTTGACATGCCTCCGAGGACGGGGCCGTAGTAGGAAGGCGCCGTGTGGTGAGGTGGTCGGCGCTGTTGCTGGTGGTGGTGGTGGTGGTGGTGGTAGCTGTGGCGGGCGTAGGCGGCAGGGCCGTGCTGTTGCTGCTGCTGCTGGCCCGCCATGGCCAGCTCGGCCGCCGAAGAAGCGTCGGCGCCGGGCCAGGCCGTGGCGACGGCAAAGTTCTCGTTCATGGATGCGTTCATATGCTGCTGAAACCCTGGGTCAGGGGACATGATCTGGTTACGATGCATGCCCGTCGCCGAGGAGGCCCCCATGCCGTGGACCGGCGTCGTCGTCGTCGTCAGCGCGCCGCCTTCATCGGCTGCGGCGGCAGCCGCCGCGCGGGCCGCGATCTGCTCGCCCGTCAGGATGGCGCGCGACCGGTGCTCGGCCGAGTAAGGGTCGATCGGGGTGAGGAACCGCCAGGACGTGGCGCCGTCCTGCTTCGTGACGGCCAGCTTGCTCGACTCCTCCTTGACCTGATATGCCGTCGCAAATGTCCACAGTATGACGCCGCGGCGTACCCAGGGCGCCGGCTGGCCGCCCGCCATGCCTGGCCGCGGCTGCTCCTGCGACCAGAGCTCCTGCATCATGGCGACCCGCTTGGCGAGCGCCATCTGCGTCGGCGTGTCCCTGTCGGGCCCGTCGGGCAGGTACTTGCGGAACTTGTTCTCCGTGTTTGTGTCGTCGTCGTCGTCCGCGTCGTCCTCGCCGCCGCACTCTTCGGCCCGCTTGCTGGCGGCCGCGGTCGACTGACGGCTGTTGCCGACGCTGGGGCGCTTGCCCTTCTTCTTCTTCTTTTTGATCTCGGTCTCCTTCTCCTGCTTTAGCCATTCGGCGCTTCCGCGCACCGCGCCCTCACCGCTGTCGCCCACAAGCCCCGTGAAAGCGTGGGCAGGGTACCTCGACAGCTCTTTGAGCATGATGGCGAGCTCGTGCGCGGGAGGGTTGACGTCTATCTCGGGCCGCTGGCGGCCGTGCACGCAGTCGCAGCCGCCGGTGCCGGCCAACTTGCAGTTCAGGACGTGGCCGGACGGGTTGACGACCTCGGTGAAGGCCTTGTCCGAAGCAGGGTCGTCCTCGGCCCCGGCGACGCCGTCCTGGCAGAGCTCGGCGGGCCGCGAGAGTAGCGTGCGGACCTTCCAGTCGTGGTTGTGCAGGCCGGGCTGCTGGATGGTGACCTCGACCCACGAGTTGAGCTCGGAGCCGGCGGGCAGGTCGCCGCCGTGGACGTCGAGCACGACGTGGCAGTGGAAAATGTCGTTTACCTTCTCGCGCAGCGCCCGGTCCAGCGGCCCGTGCAGCAACGGGAAGTCGTGCGCCCAGTCCCGCCTCATGGCGTGGGCCGAGCCGCCGGCCTCCTGCTTGACGGCCTGGGTGTACTCGTGCAGCAGCGGGCCCGTGATGCCCGTGGCGGCCCGCGGCCACTCGTCTCGCCGGAGGTTCTTGCCCAGGTGCGGGAACTGCGCCTGGTCCAGCCGCTCGCCCGTCACCGTGTTGTACGCCTGGCCGCCGCCGCGCGCCTCGTCGGGCACGTAGCGCACCGTCCGAGCCGACACGCAGATCCAGCACTGGCTCGGCCGGAGGTGCACGCGCTGGTCTGCCGCAAGCACCCAGGACCAGTATGCGTAGTTTGGCCGCTCCTCCGGCATGCGCTTCTCGCGGAGAGCCAGCAGCACCGGGTCCGCCTTGAGATTCTCCGCCTGGATCCCCTCGGGCTCATCACCGTCCCGCAGCCTCTCTTGGGTCGGGAACAGCGTATATACTACATCAAGTATAGGTTACGGTTAGCTTAGTTTGAATATAGTGAGAAAGGGGGGAAGGATGGGTACTTACGCGACGGGTGATTCCTAAAGAACGCCTTGATCACTTGCAGATGGCTTGAGACCATCTTCCGCGGGGAATAGTGTTCGTGATGGCGAACCTTGGGCTTCGGCTTGCCGTTCTTATCCCTGTACAGGTTCCCGTTCTCGTCCTTATCTTCTTTCCACTCCCTCATGGGCTCGGGGACTCCCGGCGCCAGGTTCTGGCGGAAGCAGCGTATCCATAGGTATTCACTGAGCAGCATGTTTCGCCCAAACTGCTCGTTTGAACCCCCGCCATAGCCATCCTGCTGGCTCGACATCTGATACTTCCTGCGTCCAATGGGCGCGATGAGCAGGAGGGCTGGAATCAGGACACGATGGTTTTGTTAGTCTCCAAGCTTTTTGATCAGTCGACAAGGGGGATGGGAGAAGAGATAGGGAAAACAAACCGTCAATAAAAGCGAGCTCACGCTCAATAGGCCACTTCTGGCCCATCCTGTCGTCTGGGCCCTTCTCCGACTGCTTCCTTCGGTACTCGAGGAAGGCGGGCCACTCGTAAATGGGGTTGATCTCGACGCCGAGACTGGACGGCATGGCACCGTGCCTCTCCGCGTCGGCGGCATTCTGCTGGTGGCGGACCGGCTGCGGCCGGTGCAGCTGGAGGCTCTGTATGCTAGACCGCGCCGAGAAGCTGCTCGCTGCCGACAGCATAGGAGAAGGCCCGAGGGCGCTTCCATGCGAGGACAGAGACTCTGCGATGGGTACCCACGATGCTGGTGATTCGGTGGTGCCGTTGAAGCAGATGGCTGTTAGGTCATGATGGCCGGCAAGAGATGCCTCTGGCCTCGGGCGGTTGTGGTGATGATGATGATGATGATGATAGTGGTGTTGTTGTTGGGCATTACCTGATGTGTGCCCAAGAGGCGGTCTTGCGCCGTCGGACCTACCGCCGACATGGTCAAAGGGGTCCGGCGTCGGGGTTTGGGAAATGAACTGGTGGTGCGTCTCGACGAGTGCTGTGTGATGTTTTCTATCGAGCGGCTGGCTCCCCAGCACCGTCCCGTTGACCTCATAGAGGTCGGGCGTTGACGAAAGCCGCTGCTGCTCCTTCTGTTGCCCGGAGGACCGGGCATGGTCCATAGAGGGCAACATGGCGAAGGCGGGCAAAGACACACAAGACGGCGCGCGGTGTTGTGCTCTCTGGCGGGTTTCTTGACTCAAAATCCGGCTGTGAGTGTTGGGGTGGTAGGAAGAAAGAATGCAAACGAATGCCGGCGCGGGTGCAGGAAAATAACAGATGGGTGGTCAAGGCAGGGTAGCGAGACGAGAGAGGATGAGAGATATGTGAGAGAGGAATTCCGGCGGAGGCGGGCACATTTGTAAGGTGGATTTCACCGGCATGGGAGTGCGGATTCTATGATATCAGACCTCGAAGGGTGACTTGGCCGGGCCCGTCAAAGGACGTGTGTGTGTGTGTGTGTGTGTGAGCACCACTAGGCACCGCACACAAGGCCGTTTGTTTGCATGTCTTTCTTGGCCCGCTCCCTCTGGAAACCCTCCTACTTTCGAGACTACCCAAAGAGACTTCCTTCCTCCCCCCTCCGGGCCGGAGTCGGCGAAGGGAATGCAGGTACCGTACCGGCTCGAAAGACACCCGTCTTCCACTTCGCCCATATTCGTCCACCCGCATGGTCTCTCCCCCCCCTGCCCCTAACACCCCAAGCGGGCAAGCAAGCAAGCAAGGGAGGAGGGAGTGCTGTTCGTCAGCAGGCCAGAAGCTCGCACACCCACCCAACACAAGCCCCTTCCCAAAGCAGCATAGCCGGCCATGGCCGTCGCCTGGCCGCCCAATTCTGGGGGAATGCAACAAAATTGGGAAGACTAGACACCACGAATGACCCAAAGTCCATGTTCCACGTCGCAGACGGGAAGGGGAGATAACAAGGGGGCTTGCGTGCTCTAGCACGTCCTGCCCTGCCATGCCCTGCCATGCCCTGCCCTTTTACACCATGATGGGTGGGTACTGTGGGCTGCTCATTGGTCAGGGAGAGACACACGCAAAGAAGGGTGGCATGCAGGGAAGCGAGCAAGGGAAGCCGGGGGTGGAGGCGCCGATGAGCACGGACGAGCCGACGTCTCTAGCTCCCAGGCACTCCAGGCCTGATTTGGGGGCGGGAAGGGATGGCAAGCGACGACGCCCTGTCTTCAGCAGTGCACCACCGCAGGTATTGAGACGAAACCATACAGGATACAGGACAAATATAGGAGGGAAACGAGGGTAGCAGCTGCCAACGTCCTTCTTTGATTTAGGGGAGCGCGTGCACGGCGCGCCCTGCTTCTGCTGGGTGTGGGTATTCAAAGACAGGCCCCCAGTCAGGCCAACTAGCTGTGACTTTGTTCATCAAACCGCATGCCTTTGCTCATGCCTCTGGTCAGGCCTCATCTCCGCCACCAACCTCATCCCCATCGTCATTGCCAATGACCACCTTGTGCCTGGCCCCTCTCCCTATGAGCTTCTGTAAGGCCACCTTGTTCACCCGTCCCTCCGTCTTCTTCTGCATCTTCGCGATCTCCTCCTCCGCGTCCACCGCCTCGGCCTGGGCAAACTCGAGCACCAGCTTGCGCCCAAGCAAATGCGTGCTCCCCAGCGCGTTGAGCGCGTTCTCCGCCTCCTTGGGTGTGGTGAACTCGGCAAAGGCAAACCCACGAGTCTTGTTCTCGAAGTTCTTGGGCACCCGCACTGCGCGGAGCTGCCCATAGGTGCCAAACAAGGCCCGCACGTCCGCCCTTGTCGCCTCGAACGGCAAATTCTTGATGATGATCTTGGTGTGCTGCCCAGCCAGTTTCTTGGCCTTGTCCTCCCGTCTCCGTTCCTCGGCCGCATCCAATCCTCTGTGCGATGCCTTGACGGCCAGAACGTGACCCTCCAGGGTGTACCCGTCCATCGTTTTGAGAGCTGCATGTGCCTGCTCCTTGGTGCGGAACTCGACGAAGCCAAAGCCCATGCTCAGCACCACACCTGGCCTCTTGCTGTCCGTCCTTGACTTGACGCGAGCGGACACGAACCCGTCCAGGGGTCTGAACGTCTCGGCTAGTTTCTCCGTCGTGGTGGCAAAGTTTAGCCCCCGCACGAACAAAGACGTCGTCTCGGCAACATCCTGGACCTCGTCGCGTTCCAGTAGCTCAGTCACCGACAGTTTCTTCGCCGCGGTGGGGCCGCCGCTGCTACTCTGTATCTGCGTCGGGGTTGGCTGGTTCTTGAACAGACCTTTGGGGCCTTTCTCCAGAAATAGCACCGAGTCCTTGACCCGTCTGTATGCGAGATTCATGAAAGCAGCTCTCGCATGAGGGGCCTGCGCAAACTCGACGATTGCTATGGTCCCACTCGGTGGCATCAGCACCCTCAGGACAATGCCGTGCTCCTCAAACATTTTCCTCAACTCGTCTATAGTGGTGCCGTAACTAAAATTCTTGACAAGGATGATAGTGTCGCCCCGCTGGCGCGACTTGAAGGCGTCCAGGTCGATGCCGTTGGTGGCGAAGTAGACCTTTGTCTCCTGGATGATTGAGGTCTCCGCGATGGCCTGTTTTACACTCGCATCGGCCGATGACGGGTCTAGTAGCTCCGACTTGGACACGCCCAGGCGATCTGCTACCGAAGCGTTCACGGCATCTTGGCTCATGTAGAGGGCATTCCAGTTGAACGAGGTCGACGCGGCCTCGGCCTTTTTCTTGATCAGATTCTGCTTCTTCAACGGGAGCTTGGAGATTGCGAACTCGTCCAGCTTGGACTCCTTCTTGGACTGGGCAGGGAGCACATGCAGAATCCGGCCCTGAAACAAACTGCCATCAGACTTCTGGAATGCGTCGATGGCCGAGGATGCGCTAGTGAACAGCACCAACGCATAGCCCTTGCTCGCGCTCGACTTCGCAACAGGCAGGTGCACCTGTTTCGTTTTGGGAATCAGAAGCGTCAGCAAAGAATTCTACCCAATAAATCCCTTCGCAGACTCGGAAAATGTGTCGGGGTCCCTTTGTGTTCAGAAAACAGAGCATCTACTAAAATACTGTGCCCGGGTTCGCATCATATACCAGAGGTATAAGCTGTCCCTATCTGGGATTCATCATAACAAAGAGCAGGTTGGACTGAGAAATTAGGGATGGGATGTGCAATAATGGCTTACCTCCTCAACGCTCCCAAACTTTTCAAAGTGACTCCTCAAATCATCTTCGGTTGCGCTGTAGGGCAGGTTTCTGACAAACAGACGCGATGTTTTGCGGACGAGATCTAGTGCGTCACCTGCTCGGTCCTTGTCCGAGACTGGAGCCATACGGCGATCCTTAGGGGGCTGCTCCATTTCTGTCGGCTGCGCAGCGTCGTCGCCCGCCTCCGTAGACGAGGCAGGGGGCAACGGCGCCGCCACGACCTGTGGGGCTGGGACAGCGTCTGGATCATCCGCGTCGACAAGATCCAGAAGTCGATTAGTTCGAGACCGGAGCCAATCGTCGTCTGTGGCTGCAGCATCCCTAAGCCCAGTTTCGGAAGCTGGTTGCTCGGGGAGGGTCTGGACTCGAGCTTCCAGAGCAGCCTCCGAGGCCGCGTCTGGCCGAGGAGCGCGACCAACAGAGGTCTCAACGGCCGCCCTCTTGGCGGGGCGTGCTGGTATCTCCTCGTAATCATCGTCGCTCTCGCCATCGAGGGCAGCAATCGCCTTCCCGGAAGCCAGCTCGGGCACTGGCGTCTCAGCCATGGCACCGTCTAGCTTTGCTGCCGACTGCATCGTCTCCATGTACTCCTTGAGCTTAGGATCAGACAGGTCAAGATCTTCGCGCTTGCGCTTCTTCGGCTTAGCATCTGGCTGGCCACCCTCGGGTGCCTGTTTCTGGGAGGCGCCTGAGAGAAAGGGGGTGTCTGTATGCCCAGTCCCCAGCGTCGTCGGCGCTCGAAGGGAGGGGTCAGAAGGCTAAGCGCACGCCAGTTAGCTTCCAGTGGCCAATCGGAATCCCGGAGCTAGGTGAAGTGTCTCATACCGGTCTTGCCAGCTCGACAGAGATTTTGGACATGCGGATGAAGGAGCGGTTGAAGTACTTGGCCGCCTCCGACGCAGCCTTGGCCGTCTTGAAGCCGACAAAGCCGATCCTCCTCGCAGGGATCACCTTGATGTCGGTGATGTCTCGTGCCTTGGCCGCGAAGTGCTTCCGGAAGTCGGCCTCAGTGATGGTTGGCGGCAGATTCCGCACGAATATCCTCGAGGACTCCTCCATTGTGATGAAGTGCAACTGCCCCGACGTCTAGGTAGGTACAAGTGTATTCAGCTAGAGAGTCGGAGGCAGAGCAGCCGCTGCTAGCTCATTGCTTTGGCTTTGAATGTGTGAAAGAGTTGAGCAGAGGTTGCCATGCAGTCGACCGCTGGGAGGGTTGATAGGGGAAGAAAAAAAGATGGGATCGAGTGGCGGAGGGAGTAAAAAAAAAAAAAGGCAAGTAATGGAGAGCCGCACCTGCAGAGGTGGGGCTTGGGAGTCGAAAAAACTCCACCAGGCTTGGCCCAAAAAGACGGCCCCCTGCAGGCTTCAAGCTGCTTGAAGCCTGGGTGTGGTGATGGAATCGAAGTCCCATGTGCTCTGACTACACGCCGCTCCATTTTTGATCGATCCCAACTTGTATCAATCAGATCGACCCGAGTTCGCGACGTGACAGCCTGCTTTCCAACCGCCAGCATCGCCACCTGCATCTTGACATTTCAAACTGGTAAGTCCGCCAACCTTGGCATTTCCCAGTAGATGCGCGGCCACCGCGAACCAGTGCGCCGCTCCAGGAATCCCACAGGCGTGAACCGCTGCCACTTGGCTCCTCCTGAAGGGGAAGATAAAGTGGTGGGCCCCAGCTGCAGCGGCACCGCGCCCCAACACCCCAGCTCTGACCAATTGGACCGACCCCAACCAACCGCCAGCCAGCCGGAGCTAACCTATCATCCAAACATCGGCAACGACCGCGCAGCCTCAAGGCCTGGACGAACCGACGCGCCCTCCAACGCCAGAACCCAGACCGACAAGACCCAACGCCCAACATGGCCGTCGACGAGCCCGCATCGAGCCCCGCCCCGCGGGAGAAGCTGGAAGGTAGGCGTGCGACCAGGGACGGGACGTTGCAGGCTGGAGGCGAGGGCGTACAGCCAAGGTGCTAACATGTGTACGTGGGCGCCGTCTGAAGCCCAAATCAAGGCGGCGGACATGGTAAGGACACGGGACGACTCATATTACTACTCCTGCTCTATGGGAGTATGGCTGACCAGCCATTGACTAGAACGACGACCTGCAACTCGAGTGTATCGACGTCGGTATGTCTCTCCCGCATCTTTGGATGCTCTCCCACCGCCCTGGAGGCCCTCAAGAAGCCGACAACTAACACGCGCATCATCGCGTCCACAGCTCAGGAGGCAATGGCCAAATTCACGATTGAGAAGGTTCGCTTAGCTCCAACACACCACATACGCGCCGCCCCCGACCTCTTTTCCAGCCCAGACCGCTTGTAATACAAGAACGCGCCGCCGTCGCATCGAGCCATGGACACCACGGGGAACGGGAGCCGGGGCTGACGCAAGACTTTGAGTTCGCAGGATATCGCACAGCACATCAAGAGAACGGTAAGTCCCTCGGCCATGTCATAGGACACCCCAGCAAGACCGTTTCGAGCCGCTGACAGGACACCCTCCCAGTTCGATGAGCGCAAGGGGCCCACATGGCACTGCATCGTCGGCCGGAACTTTGGAAGCTTTGTGACGCATGGTATGGACACCTTCATGGTAGCTTGCAAACTTGCTATTCCAGTACATGAAGCTAACCCCGCCTGCGAACATTACAGAGACGAAGCACTTTATTTACTTCTATCTCGGCCACTGCGCCATCCTCCTGTTCAAGACGCAGTAGGCTGTTACCCAATATCTTTGGATCCCTGAGACATGGGTCGTTGGGAAATGACAGCACATTTGGAAGGAACCGGGATAGCAACACTCGACCGCCTCCCTACGCACCTCCTAGGGCTCAGCATACCACTCTGACCTGATCCCCCTGGAGCAAGGCCACAGTGGCGGACCGAGGTATCTATCCCTCTCTGAGACCCTACAACTCTAGCTTTTGTCTTCCATATGGCATATCTCGCCTACATACGCCCTTTACCCGATCCACTTGAAGCACAGAGCGGGCTGATGTCACACTATCAATATCTTTTTGTTCCCTATTGGCCTTCGTGGACAGAAGTCCTTGTATCCCTTGGTATGCCGGTGTGGTGTGGTTCCCTGTCTGTGGGCACCCTGCAGCTATTTTCTTCTGCTGGCAAAGAGAAAAAGATGGCGTCGAGCCGCCGATAAAGCCACCACTAATCTCTGAAGAAGGTATGATTGTATGCCATCACCGTGTCGCATTCCAGCCTCGAATCGAGCCGACATGGCGAGGCTCTAGCGTGGCTCAATAACGACCGAGTAGATGACGCGAAGAGAGGCGGTAGCCCGGCTCTTCTCCCCCCCGTTGCTGCTTTCACCCCGCCCTCTGGACCGACCACGCCCCCCCTTCGCTCCGGCATGGCCTTGTCTGGCGGGGAGGCCGGCTAGAGGCCCCTCCATTCTTTGCTCCATGTCTCGCAGTTGCAATGGGGCAGCAACCATCAACGCCACCGGGACCAACTTCCTTGTGGTTCGGCCGAACATGAGCTCACAACTCCTTTCCTAATATTCCCATACACACGCAATCTCTCTGCCTCCCTCGTGTGTGTGTGTGTGTGTGTGTGTGTGTGTGTGTGTGTGTCATCACGCCTCGCGCGGAGGGCGGGGAGGCGGGGTAGGAAAGGTTTTGTCTCTTGGTCAATTTGGGATCTGCCCTCCACCAGAGTCGGGCGCGTGGGGCAGGCAAGCAAGGCGCCGACGGCAGCACCGGGATGTGCCTGTCCATCCCTGGCTAGTAGTTTGTCGGACTACTCTTCCTAGCCCCGATGAGCTGGTAAAAATGAAGCAACAGAGGCAAGAGGATCCTCAGCCCCCCTCGAAATGGCAACCCGGCGAGAAGACCGGGTCTCAGTCAGGTCCCAAGGGCAAGTGTGGCGTTGATGCAGTCACGACATAGGTGGGCAAAACGCGCTCGCTCGGGTGCTGGTGATTTATACGGCCGCAGAAGAATCACAATGACTGGTCAGAGAGCACAATCATTGCTGAACAGTCAAGCCAGATCGTGTCACCAGATTCGTGATTGAAATTGTTTTGATTCGACAGCCATCTACCGAAAGTCCCGAGAGTAACTCGGGCGTACTTGTGTTGATAACTTTGCTGGAACCTTTTCTTCCTCTTCTTTTCGCACAACTTTGTGCCGCTCAGAGCAGTCTCCCCTGGACGTGCTCCCGATTTCTCTTGAAAATGCAATGACTGTCTGTCTGGGTGCCGTCCGGGATGGATCGTTGGTATCGTAAATGTCGTTGTCTGAGAACCTGATAAGAAAAGGAGGGGTGAAAAGCCAAGGGAAAAGGTGATAGTTGAAAACGCGGGGGGAATATTGGGGTGTGGATGAAATGACCACGGACAAGCATGGGAAAGGACATGCAGAAACGCAGAAAAAGAAAAGGGGAATGAAGAAGAAAAAGCAAAAGAACAACTCCGAGCAAAATGCCATTTTCATGCCCAGAGAAACACCAGCCAATACCCATTTATCCTGTGCAGAGCCCAAGGGATCCTCAGTCAAGGGCCTTCCCCTTCCCTTCCCAAGGTCATGTCCCGTGCAGGATCATCTCCGATCCACGCCGTCGCTCTCCGAGGTGTTCCGGCCGCGGCGCGTGCCAGCATAGATCTCCCTCTTCATTTCCTCGAGGCGGTTACGCATCTTGGTCAAGGTCGAAATTTGCTTCTGCTCCGGATTGTCATCCCCCAGAAGCTGGTAGTGGAGCTGCTCGTACTTCTCGTAGTACGTTTTGAACCTGCGCGCCGTGTCCATGACGCTCTCTGGGAGCTTGCTGCCGCCCATGCCGCTGCTGGCCGGCTGCTGCGGTTGCTGGTGCTGGCGCTTGACCCTGGGCAAGGAACCCGCGGCACTGCTACCGCTCGAGGACGAGTCGTTGTAGGCGTCCGCCGCTTTGCGCTTCCTATCGTTGGCGCTTGCGATCAGAGCCTCCTCGGCAGGGTCGATGTCGGATGCATTCGTCGGTGGCGATGACGCAAGAGGCGACGACTTTGGAGGCGACGTGGTCTTGGGCTTGGCCTGGTTCGATGAACCATTGGAGCCCGTCGTTCCACGTGACGGCGGTTGGCTGCCGTTGGCCTCGGGAGCGCGGGCCTTGGACGTCGGGGCCGCGGTTGGTATCGGCTTGGGTTCCCGCCTCTGGTCCTTCAACTTTCCTGCCTGCTTTGGCACATCCTTTGGCCTGCTTCCGGCAGCAACATCCTTGGCAATAGCGGCCGCGTCCTTGGGGGGATCCCTCGCCTTAGGCTTCTTGTTGAGCGGCGTTGCCCCCGAGCTGGAACTGCTGTCTTCCTCGTCCCGCGACCGCTTCATCGGACGAGCCGTGATCTGTGGCTCAGTAGACTCCTTGACCAGGGGCGCCTTCGCCTTGGGCGCCACGGCCGCAGGAGCTCGAACAGCCGAGACCTTGGCTGGTCTCGGGGCTGCAGCAGGCTTGGGAGCCACGGCCGGCTTCGGGGCCACAGCTGGTTGCTGCTTCTTGACCTGTTGCTTGACTTGCTGAGACAGAGGAATCTCCTCGCTAGAATCATCCGAGTCGCTTATGAGCTCCTTTGATAGAGGGCCTCTTCCACCGTTGTTGGTTGGTTTCGCCGCCGGCTTCGGTACGACAGCAGACTTGACTGGGGAGACCTTCGGGGTCGCTACCTTCTTGGGGGCGGCGGGTTTCTTGACGGCCGCTACGCTCAGATCCGGAACCGTCTTCTTTGTTGCCTTGGTCTGTGAGCTTGATCTCGACATGGGCTCGGAGCCGTTGAGCGAACGGGTTTCGTCATCCCTGCTGCCAGGGGAAGCGACGGCGCTGGCGCTGTCGTCGGCCTTCTGGACGTTGATCTTGGGCGTCGATGTCATTGTTTTTGGGCCCTTGGCAAGAGTGGCCTGAAGCTTGCTCAGGCTCTTTCCCTTTCCTCTCTCGTCGAACGGCAGCAGCTTCTGCCACATGGGCTCTGTGGAGCCTATCCTCAGGCGGTCGTACCATCTAGCGGTGTTGTCGATGGCGAGCTGCCGGTCCGCATCCGAGTCGTAGTCGTGCTTCCAGATGTCCAGCTCTTTGTAGAACATCTTCTTCATGGTGTATTTTCCCGTGCTCTTGTCCACATCGGCCACCTTATCCAGAATGCCACGGAAGTCCTTCTTGGAATCCTCAGAACCACCCCATTTCTCCCATAGCTCGTCATATGTCATCTCTCGGACAGCCAACCAGTGGGTGATGGGTGCCCTCAACTCCCTTGCGCCCTTGACTTTCTGCTGCGAAGCTGATTCGACCGATGACTCCAGGGGCGAGCCGACCATACTAAGGGCGGGGCTAGACGCACGGGAGAGGGCAGAGGTCGACATTGTGAAGGCGCCACTCTTGGCGGAAACCACCGTCTTCTTGGCACCCGGCAGGTTCTTGAGCGCGTTGGGCTGCAATGTCGAGCTACTTGACCTATTTCGCGAGGTCAGCACGTGCTGCAGGGAGAGCATGGCAGCTGGATCAGGAACATACTTGGAAGGCTTCGACTGGTAATCTGGGTGGTTCACAATCTCCAGGACATCGTCTCCGTCCTCTTCGCTAGCAGCGCGACCGGAGAGCGGAGCGGTATACCGCAGCTTGTTTAGCGCCGGGTTCCGAAAGATGGGCATGGTGGGATTTGGGAGCAGATCTGCCGTGGTCGGGGCCTTGAGATCTGTCACGTATATGTCGTAGGAGAACGAATCGGGGGTACGCTTGAGCTGGTGTGTCTCGGAGCCGTAGATGAATGCCTGCAGAGCCAAAGAGAGTGATCAGTCAGGATTTGCAATTCCGTAGTTTGGTCGTCGCAGGAGTTTGGGTCCCAAAAGTTGCGTTGTGTGCGTTCTGAAGAGATTTGTGAGGGGAGAGCGTTCGCAGAAGCACGGGGCGCGTCCCGTGCCCCGGTTTGACATTGTGGCAGCGACAATAGCATCTGAATAGGAGTGACGCCTATTGTGAGGCAATTGACGGCACCACAACTCAAGGGCGGCTGCAAACAGGCCGAGAAACAGTAAAACACACGTACCGGATTCTGTCCCAGAGACAACTCAATGCCCTTGCCATTCTGGAAGCTCTCAATCATGTCCTCGAGGATGTCGTCGTCGAGGGTGATGGCAAAGGCTTGGAGCGGGAGAGCGGCCATGGACCTGGCCGAACTCTCGAGCTCCAGGCCCGCTTCGGGCAACTTGAGCACCATCTTGAAGCAGGAATCGGGTGTGAAGCAAGAGCGCAACAACCGGCTTCCCTCCTGGAGCCTTGTCTACCCGAGCAGACGCCCTTGCGGGAAGGACCGCCCAAGAGCAAGCGGAGGGGGGCAAGACTGCCCCGAAGCGTCGCAGGAGCAGTCTTTCGGGGTCGCAATCGTTCGTCGAGAGGTCGGTAGGTAGCCGAGAGCAGGTCGAGGGCCGTTCGGGAAGTGTGGTGCGGTTGTCAGCGAGGGCAGGTTTGAAGGGGGCCGACGTTTGTTGGAGCGAAGCACAGAGCGGCAAGCGGCCGCGGCAGCCGACGGGCGTTCCTCAGGGGAGAGAGAGAAAGAGAGAGAGAGAGAGAGCTGCAGGTAGCCCTGGGTTGTGCACAGGCGAGCCAGAGCGGTGTCGAGGAACGAGTGAGACCGCAGATGCAAGATGTGAGTGTCCACGAGTGAGTTGGACAGGAGAGGAGTGTCGCGGAGGCAGTTGCAGGCAGCAAGACGCAGCAACAAGGAGAGGTCGTAGACCGAGTGACTTGGGTTCGAGGGAATGAAAAGGGTGGAGCGGCATGGACAAAGACGCCTAGGCTGGCAAACGAGAGGGTGGGAACAACGAAGGAGGGCGGAGTGGTTCCAGCAGGGGGGGTGGTTCCGGAGGCAGGGACAGTACCTTTTGGCTCCCCCTGGGGTTACGCTGGTCCCGTGGAAACCACCAAGTCACTGGTACATCACCCAATACTTTGGTGGGTGGGGCCCCAAACATTTGACGCCGCCCTAACTCAGTGCTCCAGTGGGCTCGAATGCTTCGGCCCAGACTGAGAAAGGTCCCGTCGAGCCGCAGAATCGCGTGGAGAAGGAGAAGAACGAAGCAACAAGACGTTGGCTCTCTCTCAAGACACGCAAAGCGGCCACGCGAGAGCCAGTCTTCTTGGCCTGGGCGCCTTCAATTGGGTGCCGGCAGACGGACCCCAAAGCCGTTGAATGATCTATCTTGCCGTCGTGGGTATTCGCAATCGACAACCTCAGTCCAGACTTTCTGGCCGACAAGGCAAATCCTGGGAGCAAAGGGGCCCGGGCAACACAGCTTGTCCGTCTCCTGTCCCACTCATTTATTCCCTGGGCGTTTGCTGGGCGGCGAACAACGTCAAGGCCCGCCGCCCCAGTTGGCTGTTGATTGCCAGCGCGCGCCTGGCCGAAGCTGTGACGGCCTCTACCTGCCACTTCGGCACCTACCTACCTTGGGCATGGAGACGTTTTACGGATTTCCTAGCTCTGTGCGTTGCTCATGACCCCAGTGTGCCTCTTCGCCCACGCAAGAAATCGCTGGTGATGTGATGGGCGCTCAGGTGGTACCTCGTGCATCTGGTTCGTCAGCCTTCCATTGTCGACCCGAGCAAAGACTTGATCTATCCGTACCTAGTACCTCCACTAGGCCCCCTGGTCCTCGCAGCCGATGGGGCGCGACAGGGTTCATGGATCGACGGACGAGCAGCGCAGACAAACGTGCATGTCAGGTTGAGCGCGGTCGGCCGTCGAGGTGCGCACCCTGCCTGTGCCTCGAGCAGGGTGGACTGGGGCACGGCACCACCCTCCATGTCCTCCAGCGATTTACATGGGACGAGAGGTACGCAAGCGATTTGAGAAGGCCAGAAAGATCGAGCCGGTTGGTTCACGGAGTGGTGTTGGTGTCTCCTTCAGCTCCCAGGTCTTTATCTCCTCTCCAGATTTGCCTTTTCGGAGAAGGCAAATAATTGCGGCTGCATTCGCTGGTCTAGTCTTCGACACGGATGGCTATGCAGAAGCAAAAAGGCCACTGGGGGGGGCGAGGAATTCGAGTCAACATGAGAACAATTGAATCGGTTCACCACGGGGCGTATACTGTGGTATTTCTCCTCACTCCTCCCCGATGTACCTACCTGTTTGTTTTCCCTCTTCATTTCATGTCTTTTCCTGTAGATGAAACCAGAAGCACCACGTTTCTAGCTGGCTCCCCTTGTTCATTGCAAATCATGCCGCACGTGGACACTTTTGCTCGTTTGCCGAGTCTTCTTTGTCTCGTTACATGGTGTCTTTACCTATCCCAAAAAAGCAACATTGGCCATTGGTATAGACAGGCGTTCGTTCATATGTCTTCGGTTGAAGTCTTGGCTGCCCTGGGCGGGAGTCACGCCGCCTGACGGGTAGCATCAACGACGCAGTGGGTTGTTCAGGCGGGCCATTGGTGTGCCGCTGGAGCGTGTGTTTATCAACGGGCTAAAGCACCCGATCTAACCCCGGATGGAGTAGGTCCAACGGCTCGGACGAGCAGCGCAGCAGTAGTCGATGGATTCCCATGTCGCGAGCTGTCCGACCGCCCCGTGGCGGACAGCGTTCATAGTGTGTTTTTTTTTTCTGTCTGGGTTGGGTCGCGCATGCTCTCTCAATCGACGCCTGGATGGCCCCCGGCCGTTTTGGCAGTCCCGGCGCCAGAGAACAGGGAAAGACGAGGCGGAGGCGGTCCACGCAGCCATGCAGCCATGCAGGCACGCAACACATGCACGCACATGCAGCGCATGAGTTGGGAGTCGGTGAATAGCCCAAGGGTTATCGACCTGCCCACACCATACCTCCCATTGAACATACCATGTACCACATGTTTTCCATCCCAACGGCCCATGTACCGAGAACCTGGGGCGCTCTCCCACGCAATTGGGTAGGCATGTGTGAATAGACTGAAGATGTTCAACGTGTGTGCAAAAAGGGGATGGCCATGGAAATTGGTTCTTGGACGCAGGTGCCCAAGGACTCTACAGAACGATACTTGCTAGGTTCCCAAGGTACCTGACCCAAGGTACCTCTGCCAGCGCGCAATTGACTCGGGTGCCTCAATGTGTCTGTCTATTCCCCAGCCCAGCCTCCCTGGTCCCACTCCTCAGCCCATATGTACAACTACCTGGATTGGAGATCCATCTAGCAACGCGGTCGGTGTGCTGCATCCATTTTTACGAGATGCGCGTATTTCGACCGCCTCCTGGGCGGCTTGGGCGGGCGCCGTTCCCCCAAAAGCCAACATGCTCCTGCATGGCATGATTAAGCCTGTGTGAGAGGATCGGGCTTCTCCGTTGTTGACATCACCCTCTGCTGCACCGTGTCCCATCAGCAGCCTGCAAGCCACAATCTTACGCCATACGGACAAGGTGGGATTTAGATTCCCGTCGTAGAGCATATCCAGCAGGCATGCAGGCTCAGGCAGCACAACCCCAGCTGCCATGGTTACTCTTTGGGAGCACCATGTTGGTGATTTGGGTTGCTCGCCCATTCATCCCCCCCGTCGTCCCAATTTTCTTGCCCGTAAGCTTGTGTGAGCGGCAGCTGGCTCGATGGGACCATTTGCCGCTGCCGACGGGAGCTGGTATCCGTTGCTGACGAAGTCGCTTTGGAAGGGCGGGCTATCTATGTGAATCAGTGAATCGTTAGGGGTGAGCGGTGGCTGCGACACAAAAAGGGGCCGAAGCCAAAAGCCATGCGCGATTACTACAATGTTCCAGGACTGGTACCTGGGTAAACAGTAAAAAGAAAGAGAAAACAGAAAAGAAATCGAGTTTCCTCCCACGCAGCCACAGCCCCTGCCCAACAGCCGCCACCACCGCCAGCAGTTCCAATGGAGCCATGGGGCGAGCGGGTATCTGTCTCCATCTTCCCTTGCTTTTTTTTTTTCTTTCTTCCCCCTTCTGGCCCGCCGCCCTGCATCACATGGCACTGACGCATGGCGGCCGCAGAAACCCAGCGCCACAGGTCGGGCACCCTCTTGGCTCGGGACGTAGGGGAGGGATGCAGAAGAGCGGAAGAAGCAAAAGAAGAACATGGCTGAAAGAAAGAAAAAAAACACTCAGGAAAAACGGAGGGAGGGCTTTCGGTAACCTGTCACCCCGTCCAATCCGGGAGCGCTTCCCCGCCTCAGGCTCCTTCCCAGAGGGCTTTCTTTCATCCCTGTTGAGGATGGAAGCCGGCGAAGCAAAAATGGAGCGAGTCCACCCTTGCAGGTGGTGAGCCGAGTAGTCAATGTCACGCCTCTCCCTGGGCGCGCGCACCGAGTTCGATCGGCGGCAGGCGAGGAAACACACGCAGGTTGGGGAGGCGTGGGAGGTGGGAGGGGGCATTGGATTGACCGTGCATCCGCGAGCTGCCCTTGGCTGGGGCCGGGCCCGCCCCCCACCACCCACCTCGCCCAGCCGAGCGAACGTTAGCCGAGTGCTCCCATCGAAGCCTCTCCCAAACGGGAATAGTGTCGTCATACAGACCCAGCCCGTCAGCCAAAAAGAGCAGGGCCTCGGAAAGACGAACAAAGAAATAAATCGAGAGCAGAAATCTCGGGGTCAGGAACGGGTCCAATCACAGGCGCTGGCAGGCGAGTCGAGCAGGGCTGATGGATGACATGGATGCCAACTGGCAATGGACAACGCACCGAGCAATTGTTTTTCTTCCAAGGGACCTTTTGAGGACCGAAAGCGCGTTCCTGCTCAAGGTACAAACCCAGGGTTGACGACTCCAAGGGGAGGCGAAGGCTGCCGCCACCGAGCGGTTAACGGATCGCACGGATGGGCCCGTTGGCTTGGTGCATTTTCGAGGCAAACTGGAGGCACGAAAACGAAAGCAAGCTGGGCCTCGACTCACGATTGATGGATTGGTTGGGGCCCGGGTGTGGATCAAGCTGGGGAGGAGGGGCATTGCTAGTGTCGGCGCACCGAGGCCCGCACCCCCAAGACGATTTAATTGATACACCAAAAGTGAGCATTTCATTCACCAGTGGTTTCCCAGCGAAATAGCCCATTGAGAAATTTATACAAACTCAAAGTATCAAATTTATAAGCAATAGTTTTAAATGGCATATTTTTATTTTTTTATTTTTTTATAATTTTCCTGAAGTTTATACATTGGATTGTTTATTGCTTGCCGGAGGCTGTTGAGTCGATTTCGGGAAAAGTTTCCCACTTTTCCGCCCTTTTGGTGTATCACTTAATTTGTCTTGGGGGTGGCCCGGTACAGTAGTACGAAAAGAGATGCTTTTTGGAGGGCCGGTTTGCAGGTTAGACAGTTGTCTGCCTTGTCTTTTGAGACTGAAACATGCAGAGCCTGGAAGCTTTCTCTGTGTTTCCCTCCATGCAGGCGATCGATCAACCGATGGCGGGTGCGAGCAGGTTCCATGCCTCGCCTTGCGAATCGCGGCGTTTACAGCTGGCCAGGGCGTTGGTGAGAAGAGCAATGGGCTAGATAAAGCCCGATGATATAAAAGCCAGGATCTCACCCAGGGCCAAAAGGCGGGCATTGTTTACTGTGTAGTCGGTCCCTCACCATGGGGTCCCCTCGCTCGCTTGGTGCGCCAAAATCCAGTGGGCTAGGTGCTGTGCTCCATGTTCGTTCGGCAGCAGGCCGCTTCCCAATTCGAGAGAGCTTGCCAAAAACAAGCAATTGCATCTACTCGACGCAAAGCATCTTGGATTCACTACTTTTGTGTCCACCATTGCGCGGCAATCATCAAATGTGGTTGCTTGTCCAGGCCGACATGTTCATCGCCGTCGAACAAAAAAAAATAACAAAAATGCCCGGCTGGTCTAACGAATCAATTCCTTGCATGGCACCCAGCGACGGGCGTGAGCAGGGCTGAACTTGGCCTTTTCAGGGCCCCTCTCCGAATCAGGGGGACAGGGGTAACCAATCCAGCTGTTCTGGCTCCCTTTGTTGGTTGCTATTGAGAGCTGTGTATTTAGACAGCACACAGATGCGTTACGCAGTACAACGCTGCTGCTGCCGCCGATGCTGCGGAATCCGAGCTGGCAGCCAGCAAAGACGAAGGGAGGGATTCGGCGTCGAAGGCCTGTGTGGGGAACTTGACTTAACACGAGGGCTGCTATTGCATGGATCATCGGGTTGCAACACGGCGCGCGCGCGCTGAAGGTCGTTTCCTGGGAATAGCTGTGCATTGATGACCAACCCGCCTCGACGTTGCTCTTCTTTTTTGAGGTTTCCGCTCCTTCATACTCTCCCTCTTTTTTCACATTCTTTTTTGTTTCACGGGCGTGCAGTACACATGCCCCTTTTTGGACGGCTATAATGGATGTGCCTGTCTCTCTCACACACTCTCCATCTCCTTCATACGGCGTTTCAAACGGCGCCCTAGCAGGGCCCCGTCCGCGAACAATTGGGGCGCCCGAGGGTTGTCGTAACACCTAAAACCCTATTTTATTTCCAAGCAGAATGACACCTGGGATATCCCTTCTTGCGTGCTGCCGGCCCCACCGGCGGGCGTCGCCTGTGGTTCATACTCGAAGACCCTGTTTGTTTTGTTCCGCTTTTTTTCTTCTTTTTCTCTCTTCTTCTTTCCCATGTCAGTGTCGAGATTGACGTCGTCCTCGCGCCACGCCAGCCAACGTGCTCCAACATGGTCAGCAGGACAAGTCAGCCAGCCTCACCGGCTGACAAAGCGCGTACAGGGCTTGGGGTCTTGGTGGTGCTGAGGCGGGTGGGCGGCCAGAGGTGATGGCGCCACCTCGGGGCGTGGCTGCATCATCCACAGTATGTGCATACCGGATAATTTATGCCACCCACACTCATCTTCTGTCACCATCCTCATGCTTTGGGGCTCTTCCGGGCTGCCTTCCTCGCTCTCCGCAGATTAAACCGGGACCCCTTGCGGTGCCGAGACGATCTCGGGTCCCGGGGAACGGTGGCTTTTTTTTCTCTTTCTTTCTGCCCTTCCCGCTCGACTTGGGACGAACCAACCCCTCCTTTACCCCCACCATCCCGGCGCGTTTAGACAGCTGCGTTCCGGTAAAAAGGACCTGGTTTAGAACCCTGGCCCGGAAGTATTTCGTGCATGTCCGCATCTCGGATCTCGGAGCCATACTGACCGACCCTTCGGGTGGTTGTGTGGTCTTCTTTATTTGGCTTCCGTAGAGACCCACACTCTCGTTTATCCGTTTCCCTGCTGTCCTTACCCGGATGCTGCTGTCTTTGCCACACGGCCAGCTGCTGAAGTCTGGTCCTCTGGCCGGCCTGGTCCGGGCGGGCCGGGTGTCCATAAAAGACCACACACGGGGGGCGTAAACAGCCGCGAGCAGTCGAAGCTCCCCGAGGAAGCACAGCACGGGGGGCTATGCCTAGGCCTGGAACATGACATTGTCTTTTTTTTTTTTTTTTTGCTCGAGGCTTGAAAAACATGGTGCGTCAATGGGTGAAGCGCTCCTCCAGCCACGCTTCATCGATTACGCATTTCGAATATGCAGGTGGCGGTCATGGAAAAGTCAACGAGGGCACCGCCCAACAATCTCTCCGCAAGACAGATGCGAGCCGCGCAAGTATTTCCTCCGTCTACCCGCCCTCGCTTATGCCGTCCTTTCTTCTCGCACGTGGTACCTAGACAGGCAGGGTGGTAGGTACCTACATATATACATGGCTACCTCCATTGTATACAGTAGAATACTCGCCTCGCCTACGGGTTCCCGGGCAAATCGCCCGATGGGCGTGAAGAGAGCAGGGCAGCACGGCAGGCAGGATGCCTCAGCCCTTGGGTACCTAGCGCCGCCTTTCCCCTCAATGCTGACTGTCGCCCCTTCACCTATTATCAACCGTTATGTAGCCTTATGGGGCTTCTCCGGCCTTTTCAGCCCGCCAGTGCGTCCTCCTTGTCTGACGCGAATGCAGGCCTATGTGATGGTCCCCAGCCAGTAAGACGGGCAGGTTTGGGAAGAGCAGTTGACAGACGGAGAGGAAGAAAAAAAAGCCACGGCGTACTCTATGAGAGGGAAAGGCCAAGGGCCCACCGCCCGCGTCCAACTTGGACACATTGATTGGGCTGTTTCAGCGGGTCGCGGGAAGGGCTCGGCTGGCACGCCTGTGTTTCCGGGGCCTTGCGTTTCTCACCGGCCTCTGCTCCGCCTGCCCTGCCCTCGAGAGGGACTGAGACTGCTTCCATCACATGGGACACAGATGTTGCAACATGGATATCCCGCCTTGCGACGTCGAGGTATACGTAGGCGGTGACGCCGGCGAAGGAGCCGGGAAACGGCAAGTTAATACACTGGGTCCCAGAATCATGAGCCGACATTTCCGGAAAGATGAATTCGAGAGCCGCGCCGTGTGAGCACATGCATACCCTCACCGACCAACTAATGGTCCCAGTCTCACCGTCACGATGGGGAGGAGACGTTACACGGGCCTCGGCCGGCCGTTCTGTCCCGCTGCGGCAACGTAGGAGGAGGAGGAGGAGGAGGCACTCTTTGTTTGTTTCCCTCGGGGTTGAATACCGGATACCCGTTCTTGCTCGCGGCGGCCAGTGCGCTCGAAATGAGACCAGATTGATGAGCCGTATCTCTCCCGTCAAGCGTCAGGCCGGAACGTCTTCTCCAGAGCACGAGCGGACGGTGATGCGATGGGGGCGGGTAAATGCCTCCCCTCCAGAAAAGACGAATGCCTACCTACCCAGGACAGAATTGAAACCCAAGTGAGCCACGCTTCCCAAAAATAAACATGGAAGGCCCTCGCTTGGAAGCGTTTCCCTATTGGGCACCTCGTCGGGAGGGGAATGGGCCTTGGTTGATCAGACCCCTGCTTCCCCCCCAATTTGGATCCCACCACTCAGCGCGGCATCAGCTTCGACCCAGTCTCTTTGACAGCGACGCCAGCCCACAGGCACTCTCGCTCGTCTCGCTCATGGGCAGCTGGGGCACCCGAAAACGCGCATGTGCCAGGGACGTTTATGATCAAACACTTTTAATGGTATGTGTGCACTACCCATGCTTTATTGGGACGGATAAGTCCTTGCTCGACTTATGCTGGTGCTGCTTTGGTGTCCTGACACTTCTTGGCTTCGCAGGTGGCGAGTGGCGCCCTGACATGGGACTAAGCCGGAACGAGCCACAAACCAGGTAGGCCATCCTGGAGCTGATCCGGGTGGAACACGACTCGGCGAAGACTTGGGACGGTTGCGGTGGTAGCTGGAGGTGGTTTCTTTAGCATCGAGGGCAGGGGGTCTTGAAACCTGCCGTTTCTGTTGATGGTCCTGAAAATAAAAAGAAAGATGATGAGGATGATGATGACGAGGAGAAGATATAGAGTTTAGTGGCAAAAAGAAAAGAAAAGTAAACAATAATAAAAGAAAGTGTAAACCGGCCGTCCAGGCCTGTATGTGGCTGATGCTCCAAAACCCCCCGCGCAACGGACGCCGAGTACAGTAACTGGTTCTATTACTATACAACCTCGCCTCTGGATCCCCAATCAGCCGCGGTCCTTGAAGTTGCGATCCACCGGCTGGATCATGATCCTCCGGTAGCTCGTCAAGGGCGGCGTCCCCTTGTCGGTCACCTCGAGGATCAGATGAAGCAGCAGGCCCCTCTCGATCGGGATATTGTCCCGGACCCTCATGCATGATTTGTCTGCCGGCGCTATCGTGACCCTGACCCTGCTCCCGTCCCCACCCTCGGGCTCGATGGTTAGGTCCGAGACCTCGTACGGGTGGAAGGTCTGCGTGGCGCTCGGCTCGCGGTACTGGAACCACCGGAACGCGAGCTCGTCCCCGTCCGGGTCGTAGGTGCCCGAGGCGTCAAAGGCGACGGTGCCGCCCGCGTCCGCCTCGAGCCGCACCGGCTCGCACCCGACGTCCCCGTCGATGGAGATGACGGGGTGGTGGTTGCACGCGGCAAAGTCGGGCGTCAGCGTCCACCACATGCGCGCGGCGAAGTCGTCCTGGAACGCGTTGCGCCACCGCCAGACGGTCGCCTTGTTGGACCGGTACGCGCGCCCGTCGGCGCCCACGACGGTGTCAGTCGTGTCGGCGCGGTGGCCCCACCGGGCCGTGAGCGCGGAGTGGGAGCCCCCCATGTTGACGGGCAGGTAGCGGCCGCCCCACGACCCGTACGACGGCTCCTCGGGCACGCCGAGCCCGTTGCGGATCAGGTACAGGAACGTCGGCGTGTCGCCCTCGATGATGAACTCGAAGTCCGGGTACGCCGCGCCCAGGGGGCCGACCTGAATGTTCTCCCTGACCCACTCGGCCGTGACCTTGGACCCGTCAGGCCCGCCCTGCTCGCCCGGCGCGTCGCCCGAGATGCCGGTCCAGGCCGCGCAGCCGTACTGGTTCCAGCCGTGCACCGAGGCGATGTAGAACACCTCGGGCCACTGTTGCCGGATCCAGGCCCCGCAGTCGTCCTGGTCCGAGATGGTGTAGACGCGGAGGCGCGCGCGGACCGAGGCGGCGTCGGGCCTGTCGCGGATGCGGTGCAGCACCTGCGCCAGCACGTTGACGCCGCCCCAGACTAGCACCCAGAGCGGGTCGTCGGCCGCCGCCGGGGCCGTCAGGCGCTGGAGCAGGAGCTCGCCCCCCTCGCTGAGAGGGACGTCGTCGCCGACCGCTTCCATGCCGTAGACCTAGAGAGCACATCAGACAGTTGAGTGGACATGTTCCTGTAGCTTCACCACTGAGCCAGACCACCTCGAGAGATGTGATACAGCCATGGCGCTTTTCGTCTCCTGTCGGATCTCTGGCTTACCGGAGGCCCTGACCGGATAAGGCCCCTGACCTCGTCCGCGGAGGGGTAGGGGAAGTCAGGATGGACGTGGGCGTTGAGGTTCTCCACCACCTTCTCGTAGGCGTCGACTATTTGGTGGAGGTTTTGCGGCGCGACCCGGTCTCGGAGCCACGTCGACGTCACGGCCACGACGCCTTCGGTGCGGAACTGGTTGGCGTATGTCAGGTATCGGCAGAACGACTCGGCATCGTCCGGCTCGTTGGTGATGTCAGTCAGTATGAAAACGCGGTGCCTCGAGGGCAGCGGTAGCAGTGATGACCTGCCCCGCTGCTGCGTCTGATCTGCAGGCATGATGTTTGGCTCGGGCCGTGGGCAGCACATTTGAAGCTCTCGAGCTGTTGGGTATCATGGCGGAAATGGCGGGCCAGGAAGACGGATGTTGGTGAATCTGGATTGCTCCGCAGCGCACTATTTACCCTCAAGTACTGAATGCTGCCGCCTGCCGCCTGCCATCTTGCCAATCACGATGGGCTGCTCTCCAAGCTGGCTAAACTGCCTGTTGCGGTAATTCTAGTCGCCCGTGACATGTCTGACCCCACCAAAGGGTGCTTCTGTTTTCCCATGTTGGAAAGGAGGCAAACGAGGATGATCCTCGGACCTAGCCAAGTGCACGCTCCCTCTCCCGGGCGTCGACGCATCGCTCGCTTTCCTGCGGATTCACCGTGGGGCTGCGGGGTCCTCCCCGCGCGAGGGGTTTCCTCAGTCCACCGTGTCCGTGGAGCCGTCGGCGAGTACTGCGTAGGTTTTTGTATCACAGCGACTGCTAGCGTAGCCTCATCGCATATCCGCCTTGTGTCACTGGGCGGTGCTGTGAGCTGCGCCGAAAGCAACACGACTCGCCCAGGTCTCGCCGTCCGTGGTCGATGGTGGCGTGGATGGTGCATGATTTGAGTAAGACGCTAAGGTTGGTGGCATGTCTAGAATATCTCTTGATTGAACAGGCGTTCGAATCGGCAGATGGTACCGCTTCGTGATCCGTCTTGTATCCAGACCAAGCTTGTATCGCGTCGTCGTTTCGATTTGCTTCATGGAGCATCTGATCCAGGCCGGACTGGATGGCGAAAGTCCGGAGCTTGATAAGATTCCGGGATTTGGATAGGATGTTGAATCCGCTAGTTCAGCCGATCTCGCGGTGACGCCCATCAGCCTGTTTCATAGCTCGCGGCTGGACTAGCTAGATCAACGAAGGGATGTCGACTTGTGTTGGCGTTTCGGGGACCTCACCTTGACCTGTGAGGTCTGGGATCCGGGAGTATAAGTGAGGGCAAGCCTGCTAGGCCTGCCCCCGGCTGAGTATGTGTTTGACTCCCTGCGATCAAGACTGATATCGGAACCTGTAAAACCCCACAACGCTACAATGTTGCCGCTCCTCTCGGTTGCTCAAGTGCTCCTGAAAATCGGAGGGGTTCTAGCCCTCGCAACTGTCATATCGGTACGTGTAAAGCGTCAATGTCGTCCTGTGGTTCCTTGAAAAAGCCCTATCAAGCAATAGCTAACGTGAACTGTAAAACCAGTACATATACATTGGCTTCAAGAATCCACTGTCACACATATCTGGGCCGTGGTACACCCGCTGGACAACCTTACCATCGGTATACTTTATCCTGACGGCGCGGCACCCGGTATGGATCCATTCGTTGCACGAACGGTACGGGCCTGTTGTGCGCTACGCGCCGGGTGAAGTCGACGTTTCGGACCCTGCGGCGGCGCAGAGCATCCACGCGGCCAAGGCAGGCTTTCTCAAAAGCCCCCTTTACTCGCGCCTCATCACGGACTTGTCCAGCGTGTTTAACGAGATCGGACCAGAGGTTCATCGGCGATACAAGCGTTACCTATCGGGCCACATGTCTGAGACGGGTCTCAAGGCGTTCCTGCCCCGGATCGACGACAAGGTACGGCTGGCGATCCGCAAGATGGCCGAGGAGAGCAGGGGCACACGCGGCGCAGCCGACGTGGCCAAGTGGCTCATGTTTCTGTCCTTCGACGTCATTGGCGACCTGATCTTTGGCTCTTCCTTCGGCCAGCTGGAAAGGGGCGAGAAGAACCGGCCGGTTGATGACTTTGTCAACCTTGGTCCCGCCGGGGGCCTACGGTCCATGTTCCCCACCTTGGCCAAGGTCTCGGCGGTTGTGCCGATCCCGGCCTTCCGTGCGGCGACCCTCATCCAGTGGCGCACATTCGATTACGCACAACGGGCGCTCGACAGCCACCAGAAGCAGGTGGAAGAGGCGGGCGGCGTGGACCCACGACCGACTGTTTTCTCCAGGCTCTATTCGGCAACGGCCGAGGAATCGTGGACACCCGTCGAGGTGCGGGATAACGCCCAGGTGTTCATCGTCGGCGGCAGCGACACCACGGCAAATTCCATGATCTATCTTCTCTGGTCGGTTTGCCGTGGCCCCCGCATCAAGGCCCGGCTGCTCGCAGAGCTCGACACCCTGACTCCGGACGAAGGCGGTGATGGCCAGGACTTCAGCTACGAGCAGCTGCGAGACCTGCCATATGTCAACTGGGTCGTCAACGAGACGCTGCGGCTGTACACGGCGTTGTCGCGCGGGCTACCACGGCTGGTGCCTCAGGGCGGGACCACGCTGGTCGACAAGTTCCTGCCAGCCGGTGCCACGGTGACCACACAGGCTTACAGCCTCCATCAGGACGAAACGGCCTTCCCAGACCCATACAAATTCTATCCGGAGAGATGGGAAAATACCACCCAGCGAATGAAAGACTGCACCATGCCTTTCGGAGGCGGCGCCCGGAGTGAGTGCGGCCTCTCCCTTTTTGCCGTTGATGACTTGAGATGCTAACAAAGAGAACCCGTGATTTCAGCATGCCTCAGCCGACACCTAGCTCGCATCGAACTTCGACTGATCACGGCACGCTTTTTCAAGGCCTTCCCGGATGCCGTTGTCTCGGATCTCGAGGGCATGAGTGACAAGGATATGGAGCCCGCCCTCCATTTCCTCATGGTGCCAAGTGGCCACCGCTGTCTCATCCGGACGGAGGGGCCCGGGGAGAAAAAGGCGTGCAAGTGAGGCAGCTGGCCTATTGTTGGGTGCTTGAGGAAACGGGCGGCTGATGATGATGTCCCCATATTGGTTAAGTGCGTTTTGGGACTCGGATGATGCGGCTCAATGGCCAACACGTGCAGCAAGACTGAAAGTCGGGCTGGAGGGTTTGGATGCCAACTATAGAATCCTGGTCTACCTGTACACCAGTGATTGACAGCAGCGGCTTGGCGTCCTGTCGGCGCAGTGCATGGCTGCCTAGGCCTGATGTCGCTCAATCGATCGGGAAGATCTGCGCGATCCACGATGGATCCACTTGGCGGCTTCACCATGTGGGGCCTCTCTATTTTCTGCCGGGTTGATGGCATGCAGGCGGTGAAAAAGCTTCAGAGCAATTACCTTGGGCCCTCGCAGAGCTATGACGTGGGTCCGTTGTCCACGGCAGCGAGCACCGACCACGCGCTCGTGTCGAGAATCGCCAACTCTGTGATTCTGAGGTTCCCAAACATTCCTTATTCTCGAAATCGAAATTAGCCAGGATTCCAACAGCCGCCGCCTTCCGCGCAACAAACACATCGAGCTCGTCGCCAATCGCGCTCCCCTCTCGCCCGCATCCCTCCTGGCCTCCTCCTCCCACTTCCGAGATGTCGTCCGCAGTCCCGCCCCAGATCATCCAGGTCAAGCGCAAGCGCAACGACGATGGGCCAGTCACTTTCCTACGTCCGTGACGCGATCAAGATCCCTCCCGCCGTCGGGTCTCTGTTCACCATCGTACTGACGGCTGCCTCAAAAGGAATTGAGCAAAGCACCAAGCGCCACCGCACCGGCGCATTTCTGTACCAGCGCCACGACCCCGAGGCCGCTGTAGATTCGCCTGCGGCTGCTGCTGCTCGCCAGCATGCGACGCCGCCCGTCATCCGCTCCTCGCGCCCCGGCGAGGAGAATTTGCCACTTGAGAAGGTCAAGCGCAACCACGCCGCTGCTGCCGCCCATGGCTCGTCTGCCGCAGGTGCAGAGGCAGATGCCCGATCGCGTCGAGGGGGTGCTCCGGCCCCCTCGACCGCTGCGCCCGGCCGCCAGCAACCGACGACGCCCCAAGCTCCGCAACCCGCCGCCAAGGCTGTGATGGAGCCGCGCCGGTTCCACCTCTCGCGTAGCAATAGCCACAACGCCGTCGAGCCTCACTCTCCGCTTAGGCCCGGTGCTCGCGGTGGCAAGGTGCCGCACCCCGCTGCCGCCATCACTGCGACTGCCAAAGGCTCGGCCCCGGCCCTGTTTGTCGAGCGTACCAAGCGCAAACATACCAGCCTAAGGAGAAAGGCGGCGGAGGCAGCGGCCCGGGCCGCATCCCGGTCGCCTCGTCCGACTTCGGCGCAGTCTCAACACGATTCTCGTTCGGACAACGAGCAGCCAGCGCATTCTCGGGCAGACGTGGATGCGGACCTGAGTGACCAGGCCTCGGACACTTTGCATGCACCCAAGCCTAGGCTTCCGCTCCAGCGCCGCCGCGGAGGCGGTTCGGCTGGCTCGTCGACCCCGAAGCTCCCAGATTCGCTCGTGAATCGCTGGGACACGGACATGGATAAACTCGCGCGCGAGATGAACGAGTACACGCTGCAGCATATCGCTCGCGACCTAGAGCAGATCCAGGAGAGAGATGCGGCTGCCGCGCCTAAGCAAGCAGCGGCAGCAGCCAGCAATGCCGCCAGGGGCTCGGCCAAGGAGCAGAAGGCCTCCTCGAACTCGCCCATGAAATTCAAGCCACACCCACCGGCTAAGCGGTACCCTGAGAGGCACCCCCAGCGCACAAAATCCGCAGCCGCTCATCGTGGGACTGCAGCAGAAAGTTCGAATGGCAACGGGGGTGGTATGGACGTGGACATGGACGTGGACAGGGAAGTTACCAGCGATAGTGAGGATGATGATGCCGACTATGTCATCGATACCTATGTCCGCGTGACGGCCGACTCGGTTCGAGCTCAAGCCACTCCCGATAAGGTCGGGCTGCTGGTGCTGGACAACGAGCCGGATCTAGAGTATTTCTATGGCCAGGAAAGCGACAGCGAGGATGAGCTCGAGGACGAAGACGACGAGAACGGTTCGTACACAAGAAACCCCTTTGCCCCGTTTGTTCCTGCACACAAGGATGGAAAAGATAGGATTGGCTGACTCGGGCATGCTCACCAGCGGAGAACTATTACGCGGCTGACTACCCGGACGACGAGGTGGCGACGGATGACGAATTTGACCGCAACCCGTACCTGTACCGCACCGGCAACGCCTCGGACCTGGAGGAGTTTGACGAGGCGAGCGAGTCGGAGGACAATGACGAGGGTGACGATCGATTTAAGATCACAATCGGCAAGCCACAAAATCTGCCTGGACTCTACTAGGTCGTGAGCACTGCCTAAGCCCTGTGTTTGATTGCGCCGAGACGGCAACGAGATGGAAGGGGAGAGGGGCCCCTGCAGGGTAGCGAGCTGGTGTCTCAGCCTCGGCCACCAATCATGTGTATCTCGCCAGCAGAGCTGCTCCCTCGCCCCCTAGCCTAGCCTATGTATTAATCCTTGAGTCTGCGTCAGCCTCTCCCTGCATCTTGCGTCTTGCATTACCCATTAATCGGCAGTGGCGGACACACTCGCGATCCCCGCTTGGCCAACATATCCCTATGGTGGCTGGCAGTGGAAACATGGCTTTCATTGGACCCTGCATGTCTTGCTTTGGTGGGGTTCAGCTCGGGATGCCAAAGATCGGTGTAGCTCACTCCCTGTTTCGCCTCTTCAGTCCCAGAACCCGACTTCACATCCTTTCCTTCTTTCTAATTATCCGGCGCGTTTGTAATAGTATATCATTATGCATTGAAAACACCGAGGTATGCGCGGGCCGTGGGGACATTTACATGTGGAGATGTCTCATGGACTCTTGAAACAGACAAGCCAATAAGCCGACGCTTGCCTTTATGCCAGCTGGTAAAAAAAAAACACCTGCTTTTTTTCTGCTACCAATCCGACAAAAAACAAATATGAACGAACTATGCCGTCTCTGTTGACTGATTGTCCTGTGTTTGCGCTAAACAGTGCATTGTTGGGTAAAAGGGCGAGAAACAGAAACGAGATAATACAAAAGAATGCGATAAACGGAACTAGGGAAACTGTCAAGGAAAAAGAAAAAAAAACATTGAGATAGCCAGCCCTAGGAGGCGGATATGATGGCGCTGCGGGGTATGGAAACGCCGTATTTCTCACCTGGAAGTGAACGCCGACCCATGATGTTGATGTGAGAAGAAAGCATGATACTGGTTACCCGGCTTGGGAAGGGGGTCAAAGTAAGTAAAAAAGGAAAAAGGAAAGAGATTGATAACGTAAATGTCAAATACAGCGTATCCCGAAGCAAAAACAGGGCAGAGGCAGAAATTAGCGACGAGAAGCAAAAGAGCACGGGAGAGGGTGTGACATGAGAACAAGAGACTAAAAGAATAAGAAAAGGTGAGCGATACGGAAAAAAAGGGAACAAAACAGTGTCAAATGCTTTTTGAAATGAGTGAAGTGGCGTTATCGGCGTGTGTATGTGTGTGTGTGTGTGTGTGTGTGTGGCGTGTGTCTGCGTGACCAAGTTGGGGTGGGAGTCTGGCGAGAAGGGACTAGAGGGTAGAGAAGAGGTCCCGGGCGGGCGAGGGGGTGGCCGTGGGAGTTCGCTGCTGCTGCTCGGCGGGCGCGTCCGGGCTCTTTTTGACTCTGCGCTGGCAGTCCAGCCTCTCAGGGAGCACCTTCATGTGCTGCTGCTCGGCCCAGGTGGGCACGCCGAGTTCTCTGCGCTGTCTCTCACGGATGGCGGCTGTAAGAAAGGGAGAGAGAGAGAGTGGGGGTTAGCATGAAAGCAAGGAAGAGTTAAAGTGAGTGTGAGAGAGGGGAAGAGGGAAAGAAAAAAGAGACAAAAACTTACCCAACCTCCTGGCCCGACGCATGTCCTGCTCGTCCACAAACCAGTAGTTCATGGCGGCGACGCGCTCGGGGTAGCGGTCGACGAGGCCCGGCAGGCGGACGCCGTGGTCCTTCTCGTCGCGGCACTTGATCCACTCGTCCATCTCGCGGCCGTCGGGGGCGAAGCGGACGCCGCCGCCGCCGTCGAGCACGGGGATGACCTCGTTGATGCGGTAGAAGATGGCCTGGGCGCCGTCCTGGCGGCGGTGGTCGGGCAGCCGGGTCGCGTGCTCCGACGGGCTCAGGTAAGGGCCCAGCCGGTCCAGGGCCCGGTTGAACTCGGTCGTGACCGTGTCCCACTTCAGGTTCTTCTCCACCTTCATGTAGACGATGAAGTCGCCGTGCGCGAGCGGGTACTTTGCGTTGGAGCCCGGCCCGCGCTTCTTGCCCGTCTTTCTGCGGGCGGCGGCGGCGGCGATGGAGGAGGAGGAGGACGACGACGACGACGAGGGAGAAAGGGGAGGGGGAGAGGAGGAAGTGGCTGGCGACTTGGCGGCGACGACGGGCGCGTCGCTGTCGCTGTCCCTCCTCCGCAGGCGCCGCCGCGTCGCAGACAGCTCCGTCGTCTTCTTGACGCGCCAGGGCTCATCCCTGGCCGCCCTTGGGGAGACCGCGGGCTGGCAGACGACGGCGGCGGCCGTGGCCCTGTCCAGCTCCTCGGTTGACCGCCGCCGCCGCCTGAAGGTGGAGGAGGAGGTCCTCCTCCTTGCGGCCGCTGACGGTGGTGGTGGTGGCGGCGGTGCTCCCATCTCTGGGCTCGGGCGACCGCAAGGGGCGGCGGCGGCTGCTGCTGCGGAATAGTCGGCCGCCGTCACGGGGAACGCAAACCTGAATAGGGACGACAGGGAAGAGGACGACGAGACGGCGGCAGCGGCGGAGGCGTCGGTGGACAGCGTGAAAGAGTCTGTGAGCGGCGTTATCGGGGGTGACGGCAGCTGGAAGCGGTGTCCTGCCCCTGACGGCGGCGGCGGGGGCGGTGGGCAGAATACCGAGGGACTGGAGGGGAGCGTGGGCGACGGCAGGGCGGACGGAGCGAGCGACATCAGGCGCCTGTCGAGGCTCGACGCCTCGGAGCACGTCGACCTCGGGGTCGGCGGCAGCTCGGAGCCATAGCTGCCGCGCCTCTCCCAGCCGGCCTGGTGCTGCTGCCCACCTCGGCCCGCGTCCGAGATGGCGAAGAGGTTCTGTATTCTCGGGAGGGCCGTGGAGGGCTGACCATGCTGGTGTTGGGGGTCTGTTTCTCCATATTGTGTTAGAGACGGGCGAGGACTTGTATGTGTGTGTGTCTGTGTGTGTTGGGATGCCAGCGGCCGTGCTCATGTCTGCTTACCTTGTATATCAGGGATGACCAGAGACTCGAACGGGGTGGTGATGTTGGGGGACGAGGCCCTACGAAGCAAGGCCGGAGTGTGGGCGGCGTCCAGCCCGGAGCGCCCGCCGTCATTGCGGACGCTTATTTGGGGGTTTGGAGAGACACCCATGGTGAAGAACGAGAGGGCTTCTTTGTCTCTGGATGGTGAACAAAGGCGAGTAGGGCTATGCAGGGAGCGTCCGGGAGTGGAATGCTGGGGATTTCACTCAGGGAGGGGATATATCGGGCTTATATGTATATCAAGGGAAAAACCCAAGCAGCAGGTCCAAGGGGGAGGAGGTAGGGAGAGACATTGGCCGAGAGAGGGGAGGGGAGGGAACAGGGGGGGCGTGTGAGACGGCATGCTCTGCGGACGAGACATGCCGCAACGGCGGGACATGCGGGCGCGAGGTGAAGGGTCTCGCGGCACCATAGGTAGGGATGGGGGAGAAAACAAAGGCAGTCAGTGCGCGTCGATCGGCACCGTCGTCACCACGGCCTCTTTTCCGGGCCGGGGCAGGCATGAAAAAAAGGGCAGATCCTGGAGGGGCAAAGCCCAAGAGGATGGGGATGGGGGGGCTGGCAACAGGCCGGCGCGCACACGCCTTCCCTGAGACGCAATAACCAGAAAGTGGGGGATCCACACAAGGTGGTGGTGGTTGTCTGATGGAGAAGCCCAGTTGGGCTCCCCGGCTCGCTTCCCGGGTTGAGCAGGACGGATTAGGCAAGGGAGGGGAGGGAGGGGCGGCCGAGAGGTGTGCGGCTATGATGCAAGGCCGGAGCATATGGCCCAAATGCTTGGACGCCCTCAACTATCAGGAGGTGGAGGAGGACAAGGAGGAGGACGAGGACGAGAAGCACGTCCCACCCGCAGTGCACCCATAAACGGCCAAGAGACTCATCGCGTGCTCTCTTACTCTAGTCCTCGGAACGGGGCCCCAGGTCTCCATGATGCGTGTACGCCCCCCCATGGCGTGAGAGCCTGGTCATCAGTCCCGGGCCCCTAGTCCTTGTCCGGCTATTTTTCGATTAGTTGGTAGCAGTAGCAGGAGCGGTTGTGCAGTAGCAACATTAGCAACATTAGCAACCAACAATATCAACATCAAAAGTCCAGGACAGGGTGACGAGAATTTTTGTGGGAAGATTGCAGGCTGCGGCGGACGAAAAGAGAAGCAATATGCCCAAAAGAGAAGGATGAGGATCGACCGCGATGCAACGCAAGCCATGCAGCCATCTTTTCCACCCCCTAATCCCTGGACGCATCCCAAGCGAGAGGGTTTTGCGGACCCGCCCTCCTCTCAAGGGAGAGGGAGAGCAACTGCAGTGGGCAGAGGCAGAGAGGCTTTAGCTCGGCGCAAGCGAGGAGAGCCCTCGGCCAGGGCGAATGCGGACAAACAACACGCACGTAAGGTCGAAGGGAGGAAGAGAAGCAAGCGTACTTTTGTCGCCACCCGGGGCTAGCTTAGCTGCCTTTTGCCTTGCCTTAATGATGCCAATACGCGAGCCTGCATACATGGGACGAGCGACATATTGACCAGGGCCGCAGTAGCGGCAGCACTAGCAGCCCTGTTGGAAGGATGTTGGGCAATCCCTTTTCAGGATATCCAATGCTGCGAGTTGGGTTGAGAGCATCGCGGCATTGTCTCGAACCGGCGATCATCTGTCTCTGCCACTCCCCCAAAGATAGAAACACCAAACAAACATGGACCCTGGTAGATACCCTGGCAGGTATATCGGTGATCACCCCGGGTAGACGGCAGGGGTCGCTCGACCATCGCTTTGCTTTCCGAACTGCCCCCGTCGTTACCCTGGCTTCCGCGACCCAGCAATGCCGGCAAGTAACCTGACAACCTGGTCCAGGACACACCTCTCCCCAGTTGCCACGAGGCCCTCGTAGATACGACGACGGGCGTCCGACGCGATGGGCTCACCACAGGCCATACTGGCCCACCTGCTCGGCCGCTCGGCCGCCCAACAATTAAGCCGTTGTAACCTTTTTCTCCTTCTTGACAAGGCAAACCAGACTGTGGTTGCTCACGGACGACGTGGGTCTTCCCAAGGTCAGCAGCTGCGGCCCTCGGTGTGTGGTTTTGGTGAATGGCCGATCCCTTTGTTCCCCCCTGTACTTTTCCTTCCTTGTTTGTACATAGACGGTATTGCGTGCCAGGCCCACGAGGCCGGCCTGACGAGCCCCCCCTCCCTCGTCCCCGCCTACGTGACGAATACCACTCGGGGCCATACGGGATGGTGAGGACAGGTGTTTAAAAAAAGAATCACAGGGAGGAAGCAAAAAGACTGCTGCCACGCTACCAGGGCGAGGGAGGCGGGTATCTCTGCATCCCCGGGCTGATGATGATGAGTGAAGGCGACGCAAGACAGGGCAGGACGGGGCAGGGCATGGGTCGATGAGACTGCGCGGACTCGGGCAGGGCAGGCCAGGGATATCACTTGCATGGTTCGTTCTTTTGGAGTCTTGCCAATTCCCAAGGGAGTGGTTTGGGTGGCCATTAGAGGGACAATAGCTCGCTCAGGACCGACGAATAGGGATCAAGGAGAGCAAAAGCAGAAGCGGATAGAGAGAGGCCTCTCCGGCAGGCATGCTTAGCGCAGTGTTAGCCATCTCAGCCGCGCGCGCGCCAACTGGCTCGATCGGCTGGGCTAGGGCTAGGCTGGGCTACGTGCATTATTTTTATGCACGTCTGCCCTTGTGTCACTCTCGCTTGGGGAAATCATCAGCGTGATGGGAGCCCGGACTAAGTAGGACCGGTCTGTCACAAGCGTCTTTTTGTTTCTGAGCGGAAAGTTCTGGGGATTTCGAGGCCGAAGGGAGAAGTAGGGCGCACGGCGAAAAAAACAAAAAAAACATCGTCGATGTAACGCTAGCACAGAGCTTGACAGGCGACTGGTCTGTTTCTGTCTGACTGTTGTCTGACGTTTGACGTTTTGCTAGTACCCTCCCTAACTAGGCACCTATCTATAAGTGAACGGATAGCACTAATACGTACCAAGGCAGATACCACCTACCTGGTTGCCAGCTAGTGCGACACTCGCCCATGCCGGCCGGGCATGACGACGCGTAGTACGCAAAACACGTGATGACAACAAGAGCAGAGAGTGAGCAGATCTAGCAGGCAGGCAATCGTGGGGGAGGGCCGTTGGATTGTGTCGTCATGTTAGCCTCGAAGAGGGCAGATTGTCACCCCCAGTCGAGGTCGAGAAGGAGAGGACGAATGCAGAGTGTGACGGCCGATCGCGACGACGTCCATGCGCCACCAGAGCCCAGACGGTTGGGTCAGGCTGTCAGCACACGCCGGCTCCGCCTCGGTGCAATAGTCGCGTTGGCGCTGACCAATAGTGCGGTGGATCGCCCCGCAGCTAGGCTTGGTGCTGCTAGAGTCTTGTTTAGCACAGAAGGAAAGAGACAAGTGATGGACGAGGAGGAGGAGGAGGAGCAACAAAAAAAAAAGAAGAACAAGAAAAAGGAAAGAAAAAAACGAACCACCACCGGTCGCATGGCTACCCGCACCACATACCACGCCGTTCCATCGGGGATTATTAGTTCTCGGACGTATTCGAGCCGCGCCCCTCGTCGCCTGGGCTAGCGAAGCCGGTGTCTCTTTTGCCTGGCAGTCGAGGTCGAGGTCACATCGAGGCCCCCCTCCGAGGGCCCGTCTGTCTGTCCGGAAGCAGAGTCGAAGGTGCGGTCGACTCGGGTTCCTTCAGCCTCACACTCTGGCGCGTGCACACAGGAAAGGATCGCCGTGCCACCCGCTTAGCGTGGGCCTCCCTTGCCGACGGGGCGGAAATATTATATTCTCCTTGGTGTGTGCATCAGCTGTTGCTTGCTCGGGCCTGCAGAGGGTGGGGAAATTGGGCTGGGCTGGGAGAGAGAGAGGGGGGATGTTGGCTGCATCATGGATGTCTCCTAAACTTCTTTCTCTCTTTCTCCTCCCGCTCTCCCACTTCTCGTTTTGGCTATCCCTTCTTCCGAATCGGTCGGCAGGTGGTACGAGCTGAGATCTGTGGCTGGAGGAATGCAGTCCACACACTGATAGGGTGCCAGGGCAATATTGAACATGTGTCGTCCGGCTCTCGATCATGTCAGCGCATCGAGACCCTGACCCAAAAGAGAAGGTCAACCGAAACCGTTTGGACTGGGGGGCGGCGTGGCCGCTCGAGGCGAAACAAAGCGGAGAGAAAGCTTGAGAGAAGAACAAAAATAGCGGTCCAAAGCCCTCGGATTGGAGCGGACGGGACAGGCCGCCGGCAAGTGGGGGGGACGGTCACGAATCAATTGAAGCATCCTGACTCGCGCGGGGCAGCAGCCTTGCTCGGAACGGAGATTTTGGTAGTTGTGGTTGTTGGGTGGATCTCGTGGGTTGGAATGTCACAATGTGGGCGGACGGACCCCTGTGCTGGGCAGCATTCAGCAAACACAAAGCACAGCAGCAGCAGCAACAGTAGCAACAGCAACAGCAGCAATAACATCAGCAAGCAGGGTCTGCTTCTGCTTCGACAGGCCACCAAAGGATACGCACCCTCAGCAGACACCATCTGTTGCTGCAGCTTTGACAGCTGCATCCATCGACCGGCTGCATGCATCCCAACCCATCGGAAATTGCGACCCTGTATCCACCTCACTTTGTGAGCGCGGCTGTAGTGTGAGGCCGGTGGCAAGGGGTACGTATGCGGAAGCTGGGTAGCACTGTCCTCACAACGGCCACCTGAAAATAGAGAGAGACGAAAGAGAGAACTGACGAAATAAATAAAATAAGAAAAAAAAAGGGCCGACCGGTCTGGGCGTACCCGTCTGTTCGACGCGAGCCCACGTCTCTTATTATCGCCCCGCTATATCAAAATGTGTGCAAGGGGAGGCGATCGCGTGCCTTGTGGCTGCCTGCACCGCCGACAACCTCCTGCCCGGGCAGCTACGGGGTGCGGGAACCCGACCCATGGGTCCTCGCGGGCTAAAGGCGGGTGGTTCGTCTCTCTTCACGAACGCTACTGGCAGACACGGCGGGAAAGTCTGGGAACGACTCCTCTCCGGCAAAGCTCCTGGCAGTTCGTAACCCCAACAGGATTGGTTAGCGGATCAGGAACTGCATGCAGGCAGGGGGTCTAAAAGGGTTTCCAATATGTGCCATGCTGGCGGTGTTCAACACAAAGGGGGAGATAGAAAAAGAGGAAGGTGAAAAAAAAAGAAGGAACAAAAGAAAAGGGATAACCTACCATCCTCGCTCGCAGCCGCCACTCAGGAAGCTGCAGTCGCTATTGGATTCGCAGATCCAGCCACCACCAACCCCACGCCCTCCTCTCCAAGCATCCACCCGTTCCCTAGGGATGCTCGAACGGACCTCTTGGGCGGCGGCGGCGCTCTCCTGCTGTCTCAGTTCCAACTGCACCTCTTGACCCGTCGTAACGTCCCCGGGCTTCTGCGTCCCCACCGGGACTGCATCATCTGAAGTCGTCGGCGTCTTGGCTGCTGCCGTAGCGCGGGCATCACGAGCTGGAGCAGTTTCCTCCTCCTCCTCCTTGCCTGCCGCTCCCACTCCTCCTCCCCCCTCACCCTCATCCTCCCCCTTCTCACCTGCCGCAGCCCCCGCCCTCCTGCGGTAGACGCTGAGGCCGCAGGTGAAGGCGCCAAAGTCGTCGGCGCCCGCCACGTCGTCGGGCATGCGGCCAGTCAGGACCCTACCCAGCGCGATGACGGCCGCGGCGTGCGTGCAGACGACGACGGCCCGCGCGCCCTCGGCATCGCAGCGCCCGATGATGCGCGCCGCCGCCAGCGCCACCCGGTCGTGCAGCTCCGCGACCGACTCGCCCCGGGAGGGGGGCACCACCTCGGCCCGGTACGCGCCGTCCAGCATGTCCGGGAACAGGCCCGCGAGCACCTCGGGCGGCGCGGGTGCCGGGTGCGCAAAGGGCGCGGCCCCGAACCACTCGGCCACGCCGGGCTCCACCCGGACCTTTAGGGCGGCGCTCGGCGGCTGCGGCGGCGCCGCGGCATCGCTGCTGCTGCTGCTGCTGCTGCTGCCGGCCTGGGCTGCGCGGGCAAAGGGCTCTATGGTCTGCAGGCAGCGGTAGAAGGGGCTGGAGTAGATGCGCTCGATGGGCGGCTCGACGGCGAGCAGGTGGCGGCCGAGCTCCCTGGCCTGGTCCAAGCCGTGCGCCGTCAGGGCGGGGTCGTTTGCTATACCGGTCGGCGACCGGATGGTGGCGGTATACTTGCCGGTTGACGGGTCAACTGTCCAGCTGGAGCGGAACTAAAAACCACAATGACAAGGCAGCGGTGGTGGGGAGGGAGCATAGCGCCAACCCAGCCAGAAGAAGGGATATGTTAGAAGTCAGAACAAAAAAAAAAAAAAAAGCCATTTGCCGGTTTGTTTCACAAGATGCAGTAGAGAGGCCCTCTTCCGCCCCTAGTAGTCAGATAAACAGCCGTAGCTCCAGGAGGTGGCAAGCACTAGCAGGCCAGTGTCCCAACGATACTGTGTGCGACGGCGTGACGCAAGGGGGGAGAGACGACACAAAGACTCAATGGAACTCGGAGCTTTGCTTGTGACACTTCACCGCCCGCCGAACCTCTTTCGTTCCCTTGCCTTACTGCCCCTAGTGATGCTCTTTCTACGTACCCCGTGGCGCGTGACATAGATGACCTCCAGCCCCATATTGCTCGCTGCACTCGGCTAGGTCGGTGGGTAGGTAGGGAGGTGTGTTGAAGGGCCGTTTTTTTCTTGTCTCGTTCTTTATCGCATTTTGAACTTTGATGAGAAGTGGTTCAACGCACCGTGTAGCCATGTGAGAGGCCCCGCCTTCCAGCAGAGTGGAGGTTGCATCCAAAACGGCAAGTGGCCGGGCGGGTGGGTGTCAAAGCCCCCACCCATACGATCGATCCACTATAGCCCCCCTTTTTTTGCCTTGCCTTTTTTGTGGTGTTTCCCATTCTTCCCCCTACCCAGCCCCCCCCCACGGCGGCGTTCCCTCGTGCCTTCTGCTTGGTGGGATTATTCGCGGCTGATATATGTTGCTTCTTATTCGGATGTTCCTCGCTTGGCACGTTGCACGTAGCTTCTATGTGGTGCCGTCATCCCCTCCTCCATGACTGCAGCTCTGGGCGCTGTAAGCTCTCCCTTGCAGGGCGGCGACGGACTATTCGTCAAGTAGCTAAAGGGAACTGTCAGCTTGCCCGTGACCTACTAATGAAAAGTCGGCCCGCAACAAGGCCAGACGGTAGCCGGCGCACCGTGAAAGGGCCTCTTTCGCCTACGCACCGCACCGACTGTAGACTGGGCCGACGTCGGCCCCCCGCCCAGTGGAAGCCGATTCCGATGACAAGGCGCTAGGAGATAAAGACAGCCCCAGCCCCGATGGGCGGGCCAAAATGGCCGTACGTTTCCTGATCCTTCATCGCACGCCCCCTCGGCACGAATGTGTTGTGGAGTTTGTTCTCTCTTGAAACATGCAGACGGATGCACTAGATACATGAAAGGGCGGATGAATGAATGAATGGAATGGATACATGTCCGTCTTCACACGCATTGCTCAAGCTTGACCCAGCGGCAGGTTGACATAAGGGCAGCCGAGATATGCTCTCTGTGCATTGAACCGGCACGGCCGTGAACAAAGTCTGTTGCGAGCCGTCATGCCGAGGTGCAGCTATGTGCATATGAGCTTGCGTTACTCTGCCGGACGAGGAGGCCCAGGTACAACCACACTTGCCTTAGACCTTGATATCCAGGTGGCAATGGCCACAGCATGTTCGACCGGGATAGAACAGCAAGGAGAAAATATGAAGGATGGTTCACATGATACAAGCCCAAAGCTGGGAGGGATAATTGCACGAGTAGAAGATGTGGGAAAGGAGAGGATGGAGGACAAGGAAATAAGACTGAATCATAGCAGGCAACAGTAGAAAATACATGCTCCTAGAAATCTACGCCGTTACTCCTATCAAGTACCCTCCATATGTATACGGGGGAAAGATGCATGTATCGAAAAGTGGCAGCAGGGCTAAAGGTGTGGGCGAGGCCATCCTGTCATCGAACCCAAAATATCACAAGTCGTCCCATGGCTGTTTCATCTGAACGACAGCCATCAAAGGGGAAAGGGGAAGGGGGAAATCAGGGGAGTCGGAGGTGCCTCCCGGGAATGCCGCTGTTCACATGACGGCGCACGCGGCGGTCCGGGCCCGACGCCGCCCGACGCCGAGTGGGCCGAAACCTCCGCCCTCCTCCTCGTCGGCGTGGACCTGCTGCGCCTCTCGGGCCCTCCGCCTCCGTCTCCGGCCGCCGGCGCCCCCGACCCCGGCCTCCTCGGTCGCCTGGATGTACTCTGCCCACTTGCGTTCCAGCCGCGCCGCCGCCGCCAGGTCGCCCCGCAGAACTCGTTTTGTGTGTTCGTCCACCGTCATCTGCCACCCGTAGAAGCACTTGAGCGAGATGATCTCGGTGGGATACGTGGGTTGTGTCGTCGCGGGCTTTGGTGGTGGCCTGCGCGGTTGCGTCCTCGAGGGAGAGCTAGAGCCGCTAGAACTGCCGCCGCTGGAATTACCATCACTTGTATCTCGACTGTCATTATTCGCACTCGGATTTGGTTGGAAATCGGCTTCTAGAGGCTGGTGGTGGTGGCGATCCTGGCGTCGGTGGTGCTGTTGAGGGCGGCCAGGCGCCAAAATCTCGGCATTGCGAGAGAGAACCTCACGGATGCCCGTCCAGGTGATGTTCTGGCAGTCGTATACAACAACGTTGAGCGATACACGCGGACGGCTCAGCTTGTCCTTGGAGCGAGCCGCCCTCGCGCGCACCATGGCGGCCGCCTCGGTCAAGACGAGGTCACTAACGCGTGTGTTGTCCATCTCCACCGTCTCCAGGCTCCTGCAAGCCCTCATCACAGGCTGCATGCCTGCATCGCTCAGGCTTTCGCAGTAGCTCACTGTGAGGTGTCGGAGGGCCGGGGCGCAGGGCGACTTGGCCAGGTGCTCTGAAAGGACCGCGTTGGTCAGCTGCGGCACATCCTCGAGCTCCAGATGTGTCAGGCGCGTGGCCGTCGCCAGCACCGGCTCGAGGGCCGAGTCCGTGAGCCCCGTGCATCCGCTGAGCTGCAGGCCCTCGAGCTCCGGGACGAAGTGTCCCAGGGCCCTGAGGCCATGGCTGGTGATTTGCGTGCAGCGGCTGAGGTCCAGGTGACGGAGCTTTCTGGGCGGCACCATCGGCCGGTCCGTCAGGACATCCATCTCTGGGTTCACGCCATGCATCATTATGCGGAGCGAGGCGTCGTCCAGGTCGCCGCAGCCGCCGAGGACCAGCCTCGTTAGGTTGTTGGTCCTGAAAATGGCCTCGGCGACCTCGCGGATGTAAAAGCCCCTGACCTCGCCGGCCCGCAGGTCCGTGAGTCGGGGGCACTTCTCCACCACGGCCCTGACGCCTCGCGCATCCACGTGTTCGCACCACGACACGTTGAACATCTCCAGCTGGGGGCACGACTCGGCCACGATCCTACATGTGGTGTTGGTCACAGCGCCCAGGCCCGTCAGGTTGAGGCGTGCCAGCCGCTCGTTGGTGCGTAGCAGGCTGTGCAGGGTGCTCTGCTGGAAGTTCCGGCACCCCTCCAGAGTGGCGTTGATGAGGTTCTTGCAGGCCTTGACCACAACTTCGGCGCGCTTGTAGTGTTCGACCTGCACGCAGCCCCTGAGGTTGAGGTCCTTCACAAAGGGTCCTGCGGCCACGATGATCTTGGCGAGCGAATCGGCCGGGATCTGCCTGTAAAACTCGGATGCGTCGAACGAGGTCCACAGCTGGCCGTCGAAGCAGATTTTGTAAAAGTCCTTGCACGCGCGCGACGAGCGCACGAGCTGGCGCGGCCGCAGGTAAGAGAATATGTGCACCTTGATCTCGTGGGGCATCTTGGCCCACATGTTAAAGGTGGACTTTCTGGACCTGATCTCGACAGGCAACGCAACGCTGGTGGAGGCGCTGGTGGTGGCAATTGCGGCAGCGGCGGCGGCGCCGTCGAGCTTGCGTATGGCCAGCCGCTGCTCAATGCCTGTGTAGACCTGTGGCGAGTCGCTTGCGCCCGGGGTACCGGGGGCCGTATTCGGCGCCGTCAACGCATCTGCGTGTGAAGGCTGCGGGGAAAGGTAGGAGGATCCCATGGGGGTGTGGGCGCCACCGAGCGAGGGCACGGCCGAGGCCGAGGGTGAGGCCGGCGACAGACTCACGCAGGAGAAGCTGTGGGTGGTGCCGTAGAGGGGAGTGGAGGAGGACCGTGGGCGGCCGGTGGCCAGCTGGGCCAGCGACGGCGTCGACGATATGCGCGACAGGCCGCGGAGCAGCCTCTGCCTCCCACTGAGGCGATTCTTGGGGTTCGCGTCCATGGCGGAGGCGGGCTCTTGATGCGGCGTGTGCCCCACAGCGCCGGCAAGGCTGTCCTGCTGCTGGAGAGATTGGGGAGGCGTCTCCGGAACGGCCGGAGATTGTGCGGCTGCGGCTGCGGCTGAGGCCGAGGCCACGGCTGTGTCGGCCATGCTGGTGTTTCTCGATAGCAGATGGCGGCGTCTTGGGTATATATATCTCTCTCTTTCTCCCTCTCTTTCTCATGCAAGGTCCGGGCACGGCGCTGCTTGTCAGCCGCAGAAATCGGAGGCTCGCGCTCGCGTGGACGAGGGAGGCATCATCTGCGCAGAACCGAGAAAGTGTCGGCCCCTCACTCAGCACCGCGCGGGGGCCCTTGGCTGCCCAAGCAGGGCCTGGGGATCGGCAGGGTTGCAGCGGCTGGGGTCGGCAGCGGGCTTTGTTTGCGGCCTTGATTTGCGGCCTGGTCTGTCCAGCAGCCGCAACAGGACCCGCGACGTGGATCGCCAAATTCGTTGGGCGGCGCGATGTGGGCTGGGTGGAATCGACCCCCTGAGCTGGGTGGGATTTAGCGATCGGCCCCTGGGTTCAGGTACCAAAGTGCCGAGACGGCCCTGGGGGAGAGCGAAGGCGGCGGGGATAGAGCAGAAACGAGGAGAGAAGAGTGTGAAAAGGAAGGAAAAGAGAGAAGAAAAAGTTGCGCCGGTTGAAATGGGTGTCAATGTTGAGCAAGGAAAAGCCGACGGTCGCGACAGGAACCCTCCTTGGCGGACTTGCCCGAGGCCACAAAGAGTCAAGACTAATCGGCTCGCACTTGGTCTAAGCACAGGCGGCCCAATTCAACATGTCTCGTTTCGTGTGCGTGGTTCGCTCAATGGCAGGTGCCGGCCATGAGATGCAAAACAGAAGAAGGAAATAAAGGGAGAAAAAGAGAGAAGAAAAAAAAAAAAAAAAAAAAGGCAAGATGTGAGCATCAAATATGGGAGGGGGGATAAGGAGGGGACAAGAAGGCAGACTACAATGTCGCATGGAACCCGGTCGCTATCTTCACCATCCAACGGTCTATGGCCTTCCTGCCCCCCAGTAGCCAATTCGGGGCTAGGCTTTGGGGCAGCCTTTGCGAGACATGCAGTGGCATGTAAGCAAAAGCAGGGACCCAGTCCGTCCACACCACCACCACGCCGTCACTCGACCTCCGCTCTGCTTTTGGGGACGAGATGCAGCAGCCTAGACCCAGCGATCCAGCGGGCCTTTTTGGGAGCCAGAGGTTAACCGCTACATTGTTACATAGCGCGCGCAATTTGTTGGCTACCTACAGACTTGCGGCCCTGGCCAGAGAGTGCCCGCCTGTCTGGCCGTGTATCTATCTATCATTTCTCTGCCTTGCTGCCCTGTTGCCTTATTGCCCTGTGGCACTCTTCTTCCTGCCTAACGCATCCATATTGCAGATGACCGTTTTTGTGACGCCCCATCAAGCCAGCTGGTGGCTGCGAGCCCAGGCCAGCAAGCGCGCCTATTGGATCTTGGTTCCTCGTGCTGGACCCCTATTTTTGAGCCCGTCGCGCACGCGGGTCCCTCACCAAGAGCCACAAGACACCCCCCCAAGGCATGCAGGGTCGTGGCCTGAGGGGGGGACATCCAATGATCAGCATACAAGAGCACGAGCGTGCAGCGCAGGTTCTTATCTGGGCAACCACCACGGACGCACCAGGGCATCTTGGTGCCGTCTCCCGAACCCGTGGGTGGGGGTGCAGGTGGGAGAGATGGGGTGGACGGTTGATCGGTCGGTCAGGCTCACGCGAGACTCCAGCCAGTGCGACGCCGCCGTGGGCACTCGTGTGTTCATGTACCCATGTACCTGTAGGCTCCCGGGCAGGTAGGTACCTACACGCCTACCTAGGCATGTATGTATGTGCCTCACAGGCATATCTGTAGCTTTGCGATGCAAGCACACTCGGACGTCGGAAGATGCGGCCCCGCAAAATCCCCAGACCCCAGCCATCGCCTCGCGATGCCCTGCTCGCCGCCGTGTCAACCGGGAGCGCAGGCGGCCGCCGTGTTAGCCTGCTTATCTTCATCTAGCCGCTTGTCTCACACGCTGCAGTCGTGCTCGTTATCTGGTGCCCGTTACCTAGGTGCCCTCTTCGGTTGCGGCATCCGTCTCGGGATGGTGTGTCCGCGTGATGGTGCAGCCGCCCGACCGCCTTGGTTTGAAGCAAGAAATACCGCCGATTATAGCCCCCCCAGGTCGGACGCCCAAGTGCCACTCCGTCCAGCATTATAGAGATAGATATTAGGGCGTCTCCTCTCTGCGCAGGCCCGAACCGAGTCGAGCCTTGAGCCTGGTGGCCTTTGCGGCAGATGACCTAAACAACCACAGCACAATGCTGCCATGCCAGTGTGTGTGTGACCTTTGCCTTGTTGCTTCCTTCGCGACCAACCAGTTGTTGCATTGGGGTTGTTGATTGGGGGAGACAAGCGCGGCGCCAGGGTAGGCGCTCATGTGAGAGCTGCTTCTGACGTTTTTGGCACTGATTGCTGGGTCTGGTGACAAGCGTGGTTTTGCCAAAGGCGAGTCAGTTGCAAGTCCCAAGGTCAACCAGCCTGACCCCCCTGGCTGCCGCCCCGACTTGGGTATTTTTCGTGCATTGGCGAGGAAGCAAGAAAGCCCAAGGTCCCCCACCAAGCAGGTTATGATGTCAAAACAGGCACAAACGTGCTATCAAGATTGGCCACCAACTCGCATGCAACCATGGATGGTGGGAGCGAGCATCACGTGCAGAGCCCATCATTTGCGGGAACTGATAGGGTGATGGGCATGTCGTCAACATGCCAGATGCACCAAACCCAACCACGCAGGACCAATATAAATTTCCAACCTTGTCCTCGTGTCAGGCGAAAGCTCGGTTACTGCCCGATGACGCTGCCGAGTTCGCTGCGCCTGTGCTGTGCGCTCGATCGGGGAGCAATCGACCAATCACTTTAACCTCTGGAGACTCTGAAGGGTTGTGGAGGGGGTTAGGCACGGAATCTCTGCAGATACTCGCAGGGGTGGGGGGATTTCACTTGGTATGGGAGTTATGTACTGGCTAGACTGGCTGGTTGTTGCTCCACCCAAGAGCTGCCCGTCGTTTTTCGATTCGGTTGACGCCGAGAGTGGGAGTCGCCTCACTTTTGCTTTTGGCGCGCGCCGTCGACGTTATTATTGCCGCCGAAGAAAGGGCGCGTAGGAGGCGGAGGAGGCGGGAGGCGGCTATTAATCTGGCCAGCCAAGCTTGATCGGCCTCGACCAGACCAGAACACCAGAAGAAACAGACCTTAGATAGAGTCCACAAAAGGCAGAGCCCCAGCACGTTCCATTGATGCTGCTCCATTGATGCTGCCAAGCCTCGGTCGCCAGCAGCCCAGCACGGAGCCCGACATTGAGGCCCTGCACGGCTCCAGCGTGGCCGCCAAAACCCCGCGCCCCTCCGTGAGCAGCAACACTTGACACCACCAAACAAAGCTGCCCCTGCGGCGAGTCGTCGTGTCTCGACAATCGTCCAAATCTCTGTGCGGGTGCTCGAATAATTGCTGCCCGCCGTTTTGAAGCCCACCCAGGCCGCGAGCCCACCCGACGCAGGGGTTTGTTTTTTTGGGGGGGTTCTTTGTTCTTTGTTATTTTCTTCTTCTTATTTCTCGAGCGTCTGCGTGCTCGTTTCTTTTCTTTCTTTAATTGTATATTTTCCCCCAAACACCCTATCGACGCCGACGACTGCCTCGAGCATCCTCCCGTGCCCCTCGTCCAATTATGCGCCGGACGTACCTTGGAGCCCAGGAGCATGGTGAGTCGTCTCTTCCAGCGCAACCCGCGACGACTCTTGCTGGCGCCGTCCAGGGCGCCCGCAACCCCTCGCCAGCCGCTGTCATTGGCAGCGCGATGCCATGGCGTGACGTCCCTCCCTGCCCGAGGCTTGTTCCCCTTCTAATCATGCAAAATAAAACAAACAAAAACAAACAAAAAAGGCGCCAACGAACCTCACGATGCGGACGAGCGCGGTCGACCCAAGCTCCCGGCGACCCTGCAAATACCAAAGAACCGCAGCACAGGCAACCTGGCCATCGTTGGCGAGGGCTCCGACCGCGGTCGCATCCGCTTTTCGTTCGACGCCGGCGCCGCCACGGCCGAGTTCGATGGCCTTACTAGGTAAGCCCGCTGCTCTCCGACTTGTCTTTGGGCTCAGACCCCCTCTGTGTTGGGCCTGGTCCCCCGAACCCCGCGTCCTGCTGCCCCAGCCATTCACCAGCGCCCTCCGTCACATGCCTCGCATCGCCCAGCTCAGGCCGTGTTGGCTCCCGCTCCTCTGGCCTTGGGCGTTTACTCAGCCAGCCATGGTGCCTGGCCGCCGCCACGCATGTCTCAACAGCCTTGCCTGATGCTCCAGTCTGCTGCCTCGCCGTGCGCAGCCTGATGCTGCCCCACCAGCTGACCATGCCTGCTAACAATCCTCTCTTCGCTTCATCTTCCCCTGCAGATCCCCTATCATGACGGACCATGACCATGGACTCGGTCTGTCCGGCCTTCGACGGATCCGCCAGCACCATCCCGTCCGCGCTCCGACCCTCCCGTCGTCCTCGAACCCCTCCTCGCGAAGCCCCTCGGTGAGCCTGCCGCGGTCCGCCTCCATGATGACCCTAATGCTGCCACACGCATACGGGAGCAGCACCTCACTCTCGCCCGGCGGCCCTGCATCGCCCACATTCGCCGAAGATCTCTCGCGTTTCCCCTCCGAGTCGCTACACTCCTTCTCTTTCGCCAACCAGTCCGAGGAACTCATACACAACCGCCAAAGTGTTCTTAAGCGCTCCCTCGAGTTCATGAGAGACCGGATGGGCTGGGCCGCCGCAAACGCCAATAATGCCGCCATCGCAAGCGCCCAGGCCCGCGTCTCGGGCGACCATGACGCGCAGAGTATGCTGGAGCTTCTTGCCAAGGCCAACATCCTCGGCGCCGGAAATCTCCCGAATTCTGACCCGGCCGTGCCCCACGGCCCTCTAACTGGCCCGGCCGAGGTCTCGGGCGAGAACGTGTTTGACAAGGACTTTATCCCGAGGTCTGCGAGCCCAGACCTGATCGCCGGCCCTGCGCCTTCTGCCGCCGCTGCAAAGGCCTCGCCCTCCCCAGATCCACCCGCAAAGCAGGCTGCTGCGCCCGGCGCCCGGCCGTCGCCTCTGGTGTCAACAGGAGCTGTCCCGCCTGATTCAGCCGACTCGTCGAGGACTCCAACTAACGAGAGTGGGGGAACCGACCAGACCTCTCAGTCCTCACCACCGCCTTCCAGGAGACCCAGTGTTCTCAAGAGGGCTTTAACCGATACGGCACATGCGTCGATGCAGCAGAAACTTGTCGAGGCTATGGCGCAGCCGTACGTGCCCGGTGCCTCTTCGGGGCCAGACCCGGTGCTATCCCCCAACACGGCCCAGTCTTTCTCATCGGCTGGCAACTTCACGATGCCCGTCGCGCCCGCCGCACATGGGCACTCGACAAGATGGGTCCCGGCCGCACAAGCCATCTTCACCACCGAGGCAAAACCTCCCTGGACCATCGTAGCAGCCAACGACCTCGCGTGTTTGGTTTTTGGTGTCACAAAAGCCGAGGTACGCAAGATGGGGATCCTCGAGGTGGTACAGGAGGAGAGGAGGGACTGGCTTTCCAAGAAGCTCCAGGGAGAGGAGCCAGGTGAGGCCCAGGGAATTGCCGGCAGCAGTGAAGCTGCCGGCCCCCCGAAGCCAGCTGCACGGACTGTTTCGAACAGTCTTCTAGGCAGCCGCGGCGGTGGCATCACGGCGCATCTCCTCAGCAAACCGAACTCGCGAACATCCAAGGCTACCGCACAACAGGCTTCCCGAAGGCCGCATGCGGTACAAAGCGGAGAGCCGAGGCCACGCAAGGCATCCAACAACAGCTCCAACACATCCAGAGGCGTGCTGCTCTGCGGAGACGTGGTGCCGATCCAGAAGCGTAACGGTGCCACAGGATCTGCCAGCCTATGGGTTAAGGAGAAGCGAGTTGGCTTGATCTGGGTCCTGGAGGAGATACATGAGGACGTCGCTACCGTCACTCTTGGGGAAGAGGGCCTCGTCGAAAAGCTGGACGGCGCGCTGGCAGCCATCTGGGGCGACGCGTCCCTGAAGCCCGGTATGGATGTCGGGAAGCTTATACCCCGCATCCCCCGACAGGGGATCGATCCCAGGACCGGCGAGATTGACTATGCCCAGCTAAACAAGCGGCGCTTCTACACGTGCCGCAACTCGGAACGCGTCAGCATTCCGGCCACAGTGGAGCAGACGAGGGGGAAGCCGGAGCTGAGGGTGTCGAGCTTCCCGCACATCGCCGGCATCATCGTCGTAAACACCAGCGACCTAAAGATCCAAAGTTCCAACTCGGCCTTTTGCGGCGCTCTCTTCGGCCACGAGAAGCCCGATGGCATGCCTATCAACAGCCTGGTGCCAGATTTCGACAAGCTCCTGGAAATCATCACGCGTGAAGACGACATCTCGCTCGTCGACGGCATCGTGGTCCCCGAGCACAGTTTTCGAAGGGCCTCGGCTTTCCTGGCCCTCCGGGATGGCCGGGGTGAAACGGCCACGTCAATTTTGCGCCCCGAGGGGCTCCCTGGGAGGCACCGTGACGGCTCCGAGCTGAAAATAGACATGCAGATGCGGGTGGTTCAGAGCGAGAAACAAGCCGTCGCACGCGATGATTCTGTCCTGGAGGAGGAGGACGAGGACGAAGACGAGAGCGCTGGCGTTGGTGCGGCGCCTGAGACATTGTGGTCCCTGGGTGGCTCTAGAGAGGACGTGAGCGTGACTTCGACGTCTGAAATGGTGTACGCGCTCTGGATAACCTATTCCAGGCACCTGCACACGTCGTCCAGAGTGATCATTGGCTCTGGCGCGACGTCTCCCTTGATGTCTGGCACCAACACACCTCTCCATCAGCCGTCTCCTGGACAGACCCCGGCGCACACACCACAGGATATGGGATCAGATACGGATGAGCCGAAGAAGGAGATGTCGATAGCCAAGATCACCCAGCAGATCAAAGACGTGGCTCGGGGCGCGGCTGCCAAGATAGCCGGTGGGAAGGCCAAGGAGGCGGCGGCGCCAGCCACGTCCCCTGCGGCCAAGGAACCCGAGCCGGCAGCGACACCGACCAAGAAGACGATTGACAGTTTTACAATACTGGAAGAGATGGGCCAAGGAGCATACGGCCAAGTCAAGCTGGCCAAGCACAAGGACAGCGGGCACAAGGTCGTGCTCAAATACGTGACGAAGCGGCGCATCCTGGTGGACACGTGGACTAGGGACCGGCGCCTGGGGACTGTTCCGCTCGAGATCCATGTGCTGGACTACCTGCGGCGGGACGGGCTGCGGCACCCCAACATCGTCGAGATGGAGGACTTTTTTGAGGACGAGACCAACTACTACATCGAGATGGCGCCGCACGGCCTGCCGGGCATGGACCTGTTCGACTACATCGAGGTCCGAAGCAACATGGAGGAGTCCGAGTGCCGGAGCATCTTTGTGCAGGTGGCGCGCGCGATACATCACCTGCACACCAAGGCCAACGTTGTCCACCGCGACATCAAGGATGAGAATGTGATTCTGGACGGCGACGGAAATATCAAGCTCATCGATTTCGGTAGTGCGGCATACATCAAGAGCGGGCCCTTTGACGTCTTTGTGGGCACTATTGGTACGTCTTTGTTTTCCCCCTTTTTAACACCTCCAACACAGCCCGCTGACCCCTTCATTCACACTAGATTACGCCGCTCCAGAGGTCCTCGGCGGCAAGCCGTACGGGGGGAAGGAGCAAGACGTCTGGGCGCTCGGTATCCTTCTCTACACCATCATCTACAAGGAGAATCCGTTTTACAGCATCGACGAGATCATGGACAGGGACCTCAGGGTACCCTATACCATCAGCGACGAGAGCATTGACTTGATCCGCCAGATGCTGAACCGCAACGTATCGCAACGGTTCAACATTGACCAAGTCCTGGCCCATGCCTGGTGTCAAGAGCCGGCAGGCAACGAGTAACGAGCAGCTCGGGAATGCGCATACCGACAAGGTTGCTCGCGAGCCGAGGGCGCCGTAACCGGCCGAGCAGAAGCCGGATTCCGCGGACGTGGCACTGAAAGAAGAATATCTTGAGAGGAGAAAAAAGCAAGCCGACTCTCAAATAATCAAAGGAGCCTCGCTTGCTCAAAGCGTGGCCCGTGTCATAAATGCAGTGGCGCTTTGATTTTTGCACAACGGAACCAGTCTCTAGGCGAAACAAGGGGTGGTTCCCTCGACTGACTCTGCCTCCTTGCAGCCAGCGCGCAAACGTCCACGTCAACGGCGCCCTGCAGTTGGCAGGTTCTTGTATGACCCCCCTTGGACTACCGCACCTGCCTGCCGTCTGCACCAGCAACCCAAGACAAGGCCGAACCTCCACGTGTGGTGACGGGCCTCGGCTACGGGTGGCACACGCGGCACTCGGAGCACACACCCTCAGCAGGACGTTTCGAGCCGGCTCTACCAACCTCGAAGCGCAAAAAAGACGTTCGATGTTACTCGATTTCCACACGCGGGGTGTGGTTGGAGGCAAGTGGTGTAAAACATGGGACGAAATTGATTTGGGATTGACATGGCAGGGAAGCGGCGCAAACGACCGACGGTTTTCTGGGTGGGAAAGAACTGGGCGTTGAAAAGGGTTATTTGCTTAATTTTATGCTTGAGGTGGTTGGTTGCGAGGGAGCAAGTCATATTTCCCACCCCCCTTTTTTTCACGATTTCTTATTTGCTTTAAACTACATTGCATTTATACACACTGCCATAGATCACGCTGTCTTCAAAATTCGCTACCGCTGGCCTCAGCCTGACGTATATTATATACCCCAGATTTTAGACGAATACTACGTAACCATGTCGCTTTGCTTGGATGAATAGGTAGATGCAAGATGAGGTGGCCACAAATACACATGGTGACGGACGGCTGCACACAACTTGGTTCCTGACAGCAAAAGAGGGGGAGTGCTGTATCACCCCGCGCGTATTGCTATTTGACCCTAAAATAGCGGAGTCACCGGGCAACACAAACTGTCAAGGTACCTCGACTAGTTTGGGCGGGAGGTCCGTGCGTTTGCTAGTTGTTTAATGCGGGAGGCGCTTAAGTTAATTCCCCGTGGGGGATGAGTTGCAACCGTTGGCAAGATAGGCTAGGGGCTGAGGGGCCCACCTCCCAAATTAGCTACAGGGGTCTCCGATCCTGACCCGGCAGCGGTCGGGGTCCGCCCTTGGTGCTTCCTCCTCGCTTATTGGCTTTGGCCCCTACCCCTCCCTTCCAGGCCAACGAAGCCGGCTTTTTGATCCGATAGGTAAAATATCGAAAGCTTTGTTGCGAGAGGGCCGGATAGCGTCGGAAGGCATTCTCGATTGAAATGAGGCCTTGTTGAGGACTGAAGTTGGTGCAGAAATTAAAAAGGGTTGGGCCTTAATAAGCAAAGCGGGGCCTTTGGTGGGTCGGGCCCAAAGGAACGGACGTGCCAACGACTGTGCAATACGGGGAATTGAACTTGTGTCTTCATGAATTGACGTGATCAACATGGGAGAACATCGCTCGTTATTTGGGTACATTCAATTTGACCCGTGAGACGGTGCGCGGCGATGCTCACACATGTGTACAGATGGATACGGGGTCAAATAGCAATACGCGCGGGGTGATATAGCACTCCCCCAAAAGAGACATGGGGGAGCCTTTATATACATTCATGATCAACTACTACATAAGGCGGCCGTAAAGGGTGGTGAAATCATAGCTCGTGCACCCGACGGCCGAGGTTTCGACTCTGTGCTGGATGACTTGATTACATTAAAAACAGATTGTGGTTGGCTGGTGGTGGATCATGTTGCTGTTGGGGTGTTGGGGGGTGAGGGAGGAGCCAAGAAAGATTTTGACAGGCAACCGCAGCAGCTTAGCGGGTGTCGCGCTGGTACCTCGAGTTGAGGGGCACGGGCTTGGTGACGACGCAGCCCTTCTGGGCGACGGGGCGGTTGGCGAAGCGGTCGGCGATCCAGGGCATGTAGTAGTCGGGCGAGGCGTCGAGGGCGCCGCCGTGGCCGAGGTCCGGGTAGATGCGCATCTCGGCGTCGTGGGAGCCGGCGCCGTTGCAGGTGCGGTTGAAGCTCTGCAGCGCCTCCTCGAGGTACGTGAGCTGGTCGTTGTCGCCCTGCACCACCAACATGGGCGCGGCCAGGGGCCGCTCATCGACGCCGTTGTAGACGCGCTGCCACTCTAGGAACTTGGGGTGGCTGGTCCACTCGGTGCTCTTGAAGACGTCCTTGGTGGTCATGTTGGAGAGCAGGACCTGGCCCGAGTCCTGGCAGCCGCTGTCCAGGAGCGGAAGGATGGCGCGGGCGCGGTCCGTCAGGATGTTGGACAGGTTGAAGTCCTCGGGCCACATGGCCGCCAGGCTCTGCAGCATGTAGACGGCGTTTTGCGCCGGGCCGTTGGGCCTGTCGCCAGCCAGCTTGAAGGACTTGGGGATCAGGTCGACGGGCGTCATGGCCGGGGCGATGGACACGGCGCCGACGAAGGTGCCGGCTTCCTTGAGCGCCTCCTGCTCAGCCATGGCGAGGCGCTGGTTAGTACGCCACGCTGTCATGCCTCCCTCGCTGTGACCAATGACAGCCCACTCCTTTGAGAGATATGTGCCCATGACCTGAGCAAGGAACACCATGTTAGGATTCTGCCGTCGTCCGGACAGGGGGTATCATCAACAAACAGGGGTGAACTTGCCTTGCGGGCCGCGACCAGGGCGTAGGCCACATCGGCGGCGTGGATATGGCCGGCCTCGTAGCGGAAGCCACCGGGGACGTCGCTGCCTTGGCCCGAGTAGTCGGGAGCGATGACGGCGTAGCCACCCGCAGCCAGAAGCAGAGGGCCCCCCCAGCCGTAGTAGAGGTTCTTCTGGTTGCTCGGGGCGCAGTGGCGGGAGCGGCCAGCGGTGCCGTGAGTCCAGACGAGGGACTTGAACACACCCGAGTCCGGGCGCGAGAGCGGCATCAGGGCGAAGGCGGTGGTCGGGATGGGCTTCCGGTCGATGTCCTCGGTCACGTACATGAAGCGGGTCAGGGACATGCCCCCCGGAATGGCGGTGAAGTTGGTCCTCATGGCGGAGGCCGGGATCTCCTGCCAGCGAAGGATGTCGCCGGGGCGGGCGCCCGTGGCATTGGCAGGCGTGGTGAAGAAGGGGTCGTGCTCGAAATCCTGGGTGGCCCAGTTGGCCTTCTCCCTGGCCAGGGCGTTGCCAAAGGCGGCCTGGCAGGCGGCATCGCAGGCGGCCTGGCACTTGGCATCACAGCCGGTGACGGCCTGGGAAGCGGCAAAAGCCACCCACGCGGCGGCGCTGAAGAGGGCTTTGCAGCGCATGGCGAAGGTTTTGAGGTAGTATGACCTGGGTATGACCTGGATGTTGCGGCGGGGAGAGGCAAGCGGCAGAGACGAGCACGGATGATGGAGAAGCGCGCGCTGGTGGTCTGTGAACAAGCTTAACTCGATGGGAAGCTATTGGGAGCGGGAACGGTGGTATTTAGCTTGTTTGGCTTGTCACGACCATGTGCTTCGGCCTCGGCTAACTCGACGGCCTCGGCGGCAGGTCACCCCGGCTCCTGCTGCCGCCACGTCGTGCCGCCCTGATGGCCGACTTTGGTAGATTAACCCCTCCCCAACGTGACGGACAATATGGCCCCAAAATGACCGGCCATGGCCTGCTGGGGCGCCGTAGCGGAAGGGAGCAGGCGTGGCCACAACGGGAAACGAGCAGGCATGGTGGTGCTTCGGTCGACGGAGATGAGAAGAGAATGCGGGTGTTATGGATAAGGTGATGCACAAGGTGGTAGACAAGGCCAAACCCCAGCAGGCACAGCAGCACAGCCTTGGAATCTGCCGACCCTCGAATAATGCCTGTCTGGGGCCTGAGTCGCAGCGGGGCCGCGCGGGTAAATCCCCACATCCCCTCATGGTTCCTGACTCGGGGGCCCGTTGCGTGGCAACGCTTTGCGGAGAGGCTCCAGCCCGAAGATCTCGTCCGACGTGGGCGCCCTGCGTCGCCCCGCCTCGGCCGCGTCGCCACTCACAACCTCGCCAAATAAAAACGCGTGGCGCTCCCTGCTGCTCCCTGTGCTGCCGTTACCGCCTCCACCTACCGATCCCTGCTTGCGCTGCGCCGGCGGGGCTGATGCCACTGACCCAAAGGCGCTTCCCCGCGATGGCCGTGCCAGCGATGACGCCGACGCTGGCGTCTCTGGCTCCAGCATCCAGGAAAACGACGACTGCGCGATGGTGGACCGGGTAGGGATGGGCGCCGAGGGCCGCTGGTCGCCTGCCGTCGCCACGGCCACCGGTGGGTGAGATGCCACGGCTGATGCCACGACGGGGGGCGCTGCCGTCGCCACATCTTCTTCAGCCGCCATCAGCCCCGAGGCATCCATGTCTATATCCATGTCCATCCTCGCGCCTGCATCGCTAGCACTACCCGCTGGCTCGGCTTCCGCGGGCGGTAGCTTGGGGCCAGGTGGGCCCACTGCTGTGGGACTGTTTGTGCGTGCTGCTTGTCCCTGGGTGCCACCCTTCGGGTCCTCTGCCGAGGCCGTTTCAAGATCATCCCTTACCGCGTCCAGTATGGCCGCCGTGCTGGTCACCACGGGTGTCGTGTCGAGCACCACCCTAGCCAGCGAGGTCTGTCTGCCCACCACCCGTGCTTCTCCAGTCGCCGTCACGTTCGGCTCTTCATCCGGGAGCTGCAACGTCGAGTCCTCCAGGTAGACCTGCACGAATTGCACGCGCGCCGCGGCCGTCTCGATTGCCGTTTTGTGTGCGCCTCTGGCGGCCTCGTCTCCCAAAGCGCTGCACTCCGTCGCCAACTGCCTCAGCTCCGTGACCGCGCTGTCCAGCATGGTCGCTAGTTGGCGGTTCCTCCTAGTCATGACTGACGCGCGCGTCTCGCCCGAGACTGGTGAGATTACCCCGGGGCTCCTGCTGCTGCCCGACGCTGCCGCCGCCTTGCGCGCCTCCTGGATCCCCTGCTGCACGTTGCGCCGGATCTCGCCAACCGCGTCCCGCACGGCCTGGTTGAGCCCTAGACGCTCGCCACGCTCGAGGAAGTTCTTTGCCGCGCCCTGGAAGAGCGCCTCAACGCTACCTTGCTGCTGAACGAACCGAGCTGCGGCGGATGGGGGAGAAGACGTAAACGACAGCGGCGATGGGCGAGCGCCAAGAGACCGTGGTCGCAGCCCAGCGAACCCGGCGGCCACCACGTTTGGGGTCGACGGCCGCGAGCCGCTCCCGGCCGTAGAGGCTGGTGGTGTCGGCGGGGAACGGCCAGTATACTTCATCACCAGCGTCGCTCCACCTGCCTGGTTCAAGTGCTCTTTCAGGTAGATGGCGTCATCGACGAAAGTGTGCGGGCCGTGTGTTGGTTGAGGGGGCGGGTACTTCAGGAGTGTCTGCAGCGCAGACGAGTAGTCCATTTCTAGCACTGGGTTCCAAAGCATCGAGCAAGGCACACGAGTCCTTGTTAGTCGGGCTGTACTTTCGCTCAACCACACAAGACAGCAACCCAAACAAAAAGGGGCATGTATCTTACAGGTCCATCGTATCCTGATGAGCATGGCGATGCAGACCAGGTCGATGAGCTCCAGTGAAGGGTCAAACGCAAACATGGTGTCCCAAAGGACGAGCTGTTGCTCAAACGGGAACTCACGCCCGAAAAGGAGACGTATCCATCGTCTTTTGTATGCGTCACATTCTCAGTGACACGTACCGACACTGCGTCCTCCTGTTTCTGATCACTTACATCAAAAATATCTGTGGTAGAATCTCGAGGGCTTTGAGATGGGTTGCCAGCTCAGGGTCCACGCTCCTCAGAGTGACTTCGTGTATTTGCCGGCTCCTCTCCACGATCGCGCTCTGCCCTCCGGACCCAGCAGGGGAAGCAGAATCGGACGGCGAACCACTAATCTCGTAAAAGGCCGTGGCATTGGCCATGACTGCTGAAAAGAGAACAAAGGAGTCGTGCTCGACAAAGTACGAGTCAAGCATCTCGACCATGGCTGGGTCGGTCAGACCATCGGCGGATGCGGCGGCGCGGTCGATGGCGTCTTGGTGCACAACGTAGACAATCGGGGCCAGCAGCTCGTGCATTCCCTGGCGGTAGCCGCCAGCCTCAGGATGTGTCTTGCAGTACAGGAAGAGCACGTCGAGGATCAAGGTCTGGGTGGCCGGCTCATGGTAGAAAGAGGGCTCGTCGGGAAGCCGCCTCACGTCCTGCAGGATCTCGGCCCTGACCAGCTCGTCGTGGCGAAACGCATCCCAAGGAGAGCCTGGGACGTCGGCCAAGGGGTCGAGTGGAAGCTCAGCAAGCTTCTCGGGGTGCTTGATATAGAGCAGCTGGCGATCCCTCAGAGAGCTGTACGAGTTCCTAGACGCCAGAAGAGCTTGGGACCAGTCTGAAGCAGGCACGGCTTGGAAGAGTAGAAAGGCCTGCCAGCAAAGGTTAGCATCACACAGGTAGACGCCTACCAAGTGCTAAACGGCAAGCACCTGAGGCCCCCATACGCATCAAAAGACATACCTTCCAGCAGACCGACCGGCAGCCGGCAATGCATGGGCTTTCGGAGCCGTTGAATTTGACCGCCCTCTGCAGCTCGGTAAATCCGGCGCTATGCTTGACCGTTTCCTGCCATCGGCCCCTGTCCACGGTGGGCGGGCGTCAGCCTCGGAACTGAGACGGGCGTATGCTCGGAGAAATTGACTTGCCTGGTTTCGTCCAAGGGCCTCATTGTGGTGCGTGGGTGCTTCTTTAGGTACTTGACTGTGCTTGTTGGATTCTGGTGGAGGGGTGGGTGGTTCCGGGGTGAGCAAGAGCCGACCGAGGTATGTGGGGAGTAAAAAGAGAGATGAAGCTCAGTGAGATAAACAACGCCCATGTGGCTACACCCAGTCCAAAAAGGCGAGGCCGTTATAACATATATCCAACCAGAAGGCGGGCAACCAACCTCCACCGCCAGGTGATGGGCCCAGTTGAAGCAAGCGGGCGGCGCTGAGGCGTAGGGTTGCGATGAAACAAAGGATCAGTGTTAGTCACCTCAACGATGCGCCGCCCACGCATTGGTATGCAGGTACCGACCGGCCGATGGATGGCTGGCTGAGAAGGGCTGTGTTTCCGGCCGATGGTTCCTTTTTGGTGTTTCCGGCTGTGGGATGGGTCCCGTTTGGATGGCACAGCTGGGATTTGGCGGGGGAGGAAGCATGCTCTCACGGCCAATCCCGCTCGTCGCCCAACGAGCTCTCTGACCCCAACACCCACGGGCAGGCATTACGCGGGTAGCTGAACCGTCAGCCTCGATTGATCGAGGCACTGTTGACGCTTGTTTTCTCCCTGTTCGTTTCTTTCTTTTTATTTCTCCTTTTCTCAAATCGAGCCTGTTGGTTCCGTGCATCACAGCCAATGCAGCATCCCTAATCAATCCATCAATTGACCTGTCCAACAACGTGTCAATCCAATCATCCGCATCACACTGATCAGTGCCCACACCAACCTCGACCAGCAAACCCCTGCTCCATCCCCGTCTGAGCTTGCCACTGCCTGCCTGGTGGACCCCACCTGCTGTCGCCAATCGTCCCCGATCCGACCTGCCCCGGATCCTGCATCACATCTGGACCAGTTCACGACACCCGTCTTCATCCCTTTGAAGATTGGGACAACCGGGAGATGTCTGCTGACCTCTTTGCTGAGTTTGGCTCCTCCTCTCAGGATGCGCAGCCGCAGCAGAGAGGCCAGTCCGCTTCTACACCTGCACCGCTCTCCTTCGACGACCCCTTCTCCTTCCTCGCCTCGGCCGACTCGAAACCGAACTCGTCCAAACCCTTTGCGCGGCCGGCGCAGCAGCCACAACAGCCATGGCCTCGGCCTCAGCAGCAACAGCAAAACCCCGGCGCCGGCGGCCCGATAAGCAGCGGTCTGTGGGACACACCGCCCGTGTCCGACTTCAGCGGCGGAGGAACGATCAATACCAACGGAGCCAAAAACACAGTCGAGGATGACGATGGCTGGGGCGACTTCGAGGTTGCAACCCCCAACGCTGCTGTTCCCGCGCCCTCGAAGCCAACACCAGGTATCTCCGTCTTCCCTGCCGTCGCCGCTGCCTCCTCGTCGACAGCCCCTGCATCTTCATATAGGCCCCAACCTCCGCGAGCGAGGGTGATACGGGCCTCTACACTCGACATGATAACCAACAACCTAGTCGACCTTGCCGGACCTACAGGACACGCCCCCAGCTTCGATACGCATGCGGCCCCAGAAGCCTCTAGACCCAAGAACTCGGACCCTAACGTCCTTTTCGACGCCGACGACTATGATGGTGAGGCTGTCTCCGACGACGAGTTCGGTGACTTTGAGACAGTGGCACCCACATCTTTACCGCCGTCAAGGCCAACGGCACCAGCCGCTTCCATTATAGATTTCGGCGACGGTTTTGGCAATGGCCCAGCCACCACGAGCGCCCCAAAAAAGGAGCCGCCCAGTAAATTGCTATCTACCCTCAGTTTCGGCGCGGTCCAGCCTACTGGCAATGCATACCCGCAGCCGCCAAAGTCCCCGTCCTTTCAACAGCGTAACCCCTTTCCTGGCCTTGCCGTGACGACGCCGAAAGAAGAAAAGTCTCAAGGTGACGCAGCTTTTGAATCGAAGCTCAAATCGCCCTCACCCGTGACGGTGTGGCCCATGGTTGACAGCCAGCCCAAAATTGACGATACCCCTTACCAGGACAGCTGGGATGCTTTTAACGGCCCCTTGTCCAAGAGTCAAGACCCCAACCCGGTGGCGAACCATTCCTCCCCAGGGTGGGACTGGGACGCTGCCGACGGGGTGGCATCCCCTCCATTGCCCTCTACATCTACGTCTAGTATCACGAAGGGCAAAGGACCCGTAGCGAATCCACCAGCGCATGCTAAGCAGCGGTCCAGCTGGGACTGGAACTCGACATCTCCTGCCCAGGCAGCCGCGAAGCCTCAAGAGCCAGTGGTTCAGAAACTGGACGACTCTGCCCCGCCGCCCACCGGTGTCCCTCCCCCTTCAATCTTGCTCGCGGCGTTTTGCCCGCTCCTGGAGCTTCCCAACGACGTACTTTTCAAGCCGACTGCGGCCGCCGCCTCATCAGCCAGGAGCCGAGTCCTTGCGGACCCGGCGACGGCAACATTTCTGCGCGGCTATCTATCTCTGGCGACGGTGGCGGCTCGCGTGCTCGCTGGCCGGCGGCTACGCTGGCAGCGCGACAAGTTCTTGGCCCAGAGCATGGCCATCTCGGCGGCGCCGACGGTGGGCAAGGGAGGGGGGATGAAGCTCGCGGGCGTCGACAAGGCTGAGACGGCGCGCGAGGAACGCGAGGCGGCCGACGTCGTGGCCGCCTGGCGGGCAATCGTGGGCCGACTCCGTTCGGCCGTCTCGGCGGCCAACTCTGCGCTGCAGCAGGCCCAAGGTCACCAGCCGTTGCCCAAGATACCCGAGCTAGTCGACAAGCCCGCCGTACAGACGGCCAAGATGGTGCCGACGGCACCCAAAGCGTGTGTTATCTGCGGGCTCAAACGGGACGAGCGGGTTAAGGGTGTGGATTTTGAAGTCGAAGACAGCTTTGGAGAGTGGTGGGTTGAGCATTGGGGACACCGCGCCTGCCGCAACTTTTGGATCGAGCACGAAGTTGAATTGCGTCAGAGATGAAAGCTTGACCGCTTTCCATGTATCACAACGTTCCCGCTGTCTGCATTTGTTTACCTGTCCACTATTCGTCACGATTGACACGGCTCTAGAACTTTGCGGGTTACCATTTGGGAAGACGAATACGTGTATTGCTTTCTCTTAGTCCCATTGGAACATTCAGAAATTTTGGTTTCATTCCGGGCGGTAGGTTCAGCCATTGGAGGCATTTCTTGGGCACATGACGCTTGACAGCCTCTCAAGCGACGCCACCTATAGCGGAAGCTCCCCAAGTTGAAAACATGCAGTTAGCGGACGGGAGCAGGAGCAGAAAAAAAAAAAAAGGAAAAATCAAGCAAAATCGGCAGCTTGCGGACATCACATGAGGCCCGAAGACGGATGGGGCCGCCCAGGATGGGTGGACTCCTCATTGGTGGCCGCCTGCTGCGGCCGACGCATGCGTCAAGCAGACAGTCCCCCAGGGCGGCCTAGGGACTGGGAAAGCATGCATGCGTCCCAACAGAGAAGGAGCCCGCCCAAGCTTCCCCCCTGTTGGGACGAATGAGGTGCCATGTGTCAACTGTTTCCCGCACATAAGCGAGGAGGAGCTACTGCACGCAGCAAGAACCCGGCATGGACGCGACGCAGCTGGGCGGGCTTGCTTTTCCGCTCGTGGGCTCCCGGCAGAAAAGAGAAGCTTGCAAGGCCCGGCTTTTTTTTCTCTCTCTGTTGGGACCTATCCGTGGCCTGCTCGGATAAGATCTTCACGCAGCGATACCCAACATTTTCCTTTGGCTGGCGTTGCCCGGAGGGGCATGTCCAAGATCTAGCTCCCCTCGCCAGGCATGGCTTCCCGTCCAGCTCTAGTGAAGTCTCTAGCCTCGCCTTCCCTAGCCTCGGCGTTCCCTGCGTCTTGTTCGCCGCTATTCGGTGACGCATGCCAGACCGCTCGTTTTCTACCAACCAGGTTATGTTCTATACTATTCATCCACATGTGTCTCTTGCAGTTCCAGCCCCGGCTTTCCTCGGCCAGTGGGCAAACCCCGCAAACACTGGATGGGATCCGTACACAAGTGATGGAGATATTGGGTATCTATTGAGGAATGCAGGCAGGTAGGCGGTTAAAGTAGCCCAGCTACGCACGCACAAACGACGTATATGTACGTGGCTGTGGACACATTGACGTCTAGAGCTTCCCCGTTTCCAGCATGCCTACCATCAATACCCAATAAGCGGCCAAGGAGCAGTTCCCCAAGCACCCATAACATTGGACACCACACCATCCCGCATACGGACCCAGCTCTAGCTCGGGAGAATGTGCATAACACCAGAGGAGCACGAAGCACCACATTGGTCCCACAATCCACCCCCAGCAACTTCCACAACGGTCCACCTAGGTTGCCCAGGTATGTACCTACCTACATTCGATATCGTGCTTTGCTTGGCGCCTTAGGCTTCGTGGGGACAGTCGTGGGCTACCCACGAGAGTACGACGAGACGAACGCGTGGGTGGCTCGCTGAGTGGGCTCCGCTGAGGGGTGGGTGTCTTGATTCGACGCTGTGTTACTGGCTGGGTGGGTTACTGGCAGCGCTTGCTGTTAGGTGCTCGCACGTCCAGCAGTCGCTGCCTTTGGGAGCACGGTAAGGTAAGGGCAATGTAGATGCAGGCACCTCATTGTCGAATGCTGTTGAGTCCCATCTAGCTTGCCTTTGCTTCACCACGTAGTCGGTGACATCAAGCCCATGCCATAGGTTGGGAGCGCACAAGGATCAATCCTGCCCGCGTCTCGTTTAGACAAAGCGCGGCTGGTGGCGGGAGGGGCAGACACTGGCAGGGCGGGAGGCACGACGGGGAGCTTGAGCTTGGACTGGATCGCAACGCTCCCTTTAATGCTGCAACGTCGCTGCCACATGCCGCAGCTACTGCTGTTGCTGCTGCTGCGACTGCTGTGACTGCTACTCCCGGGGTAAAAAATTTAGGCCCAGCGTGATGGACGGCGATGGACGGGCAGCCAGGAAAGAGATAGAAACCGAGCCAGCGCTGCATAAAGGCTGAAGCGGAGAAGGCAGGAAGCCAAAACACGCCGGATCCGGTGGGCAGCTTCGTCCTCGCCGTTTCCACCAGCCTCAACTCTTTCCCTCCATTCCCTCCATCCTTCCTGCCAACTCTCTCATGCGCTGTCCCTCCCCCCCTCCGCTTTAGCCTTTTGGTGTGCCGCCGCCAAATAACAGCGCATTGAACCACGACTCCCCGGAGTGGCCTGCCGCCGACTCACAGTGAGTGACCTTGCCCCAAACGCAACCCTCCTAACCCTTGTTCCTCTCAATCTCTCGTGCTCCCTTCCTGGACAAAAGCCTCTCAATTCCACCACCCACCACTACCACCACACGACCGAGCGCTCGCTCGTTCCAATCCCATCTCCAGCCAATTCTCCATCTCCTCCCCCATCCCACTCCTCCTCTCTGTCTCCTCACCCTCCTTCTCTTCTCTTCGGCCCTCCAAACCCTCGCCGATACCTCTGCCTCGGTGCGTATCGAACCCCCAAACCGTCCCGTTCGGCCGCCGGTCCTAGCTCTGCGCCATTGTCTCGGCCCGTTGTTGGGAGGCTCCGTACCCTGCCAACTTTTGTCGCTCCCCTCCCGAGCCCTGCGAGCCCAGCCAACCGTCAGCCCTAGGTCCCCCTCGGTCGCCGGCCGCCGCCCCGTCACGGCCGCCTCGTCTAATCGGAGCCTTATCTTGTTGCTAACCGTGCCCCGTGCGGCGAACAACAAAAGTCACGACCAAAAAAAAAAATCCCACGCCCCCGCCTTTGCGAAAAAAAGAAGACAAAATTCCCAGGCCATTGACCCTCCTCAAGAAAGGTATGCCATCGCCCCGCCTTTCCTGTCCGTTTCGGGTACCATCTATCTGCCTTTGTCTTTTTCTTTTCTTTTTTTTCTTTTTCCTCACCCAATATCCCACCCACATCGCGTTTTTGCCCTTGAGCCGCTTCGCGTTCCGATTCAGAGCCAAGCAGCAACCCTGGAAACCCGCACTTGCACTGAATTGTGTGGCTCGTGCTGTAGATCCCCCGGTCCAGCCTCAATTCCCCGCGACCACACACAAGCATTATTCCACTACCCTCTACCGCATCCCAGCTGTCGCCTTTTCTGTATCCCAGCTGTCGCCTTTTCTGTATCCCAGTGCCGTCGCGTGCGCATGCGATCGGCATCACTGCCACCCAGACTCCCCCTCACTAACGCGCCTTGAGGGGTCAGCTCGCCGGGAGCTCGGTTGCTGTAGTCTCGTCTCGTCATTTCGTTGCGCGCGCTCGACAAACAGCGAAGCTCGTCAACCCTGTCGGCTCCAATCCCCCGCCCACATCAATCAACACCACCCCTCGCAGCCTTGCGAGCGATTACGTGGGGGCCGTCGTCATTTTCCGCGCGCCACTCCGTGTCTACACCCCTGAACCCACTCAGCCTCATCCCATAATGTCTACGTCGGACGCTATGGCAAACGACCTCAACGACAACATGGATCACCTCAAGGTGGGCGATGATGAGCCGCGTCTGGGTCCCGACGGAGGGCCCGCGCCCAAGACCGACGAGGAGTATGCCCAGGCCCAGCTTACTGTGCGCGCCATAGTCTCCTCGAAGGAGGCCGGTGTCATTATCGGCAAGGGTGGCAAGAATGTCGCCGACTTGCGCGACGAGACGGGCGTCAGGGCCGGCGTCAGCAAGGTGGTCCAGGGTGTGCACGATCGCGTCCTGACCATCACGGGCGGCTGCGACGCCATCTCCAAGGCATATGCCATTGTGGCGCGTGCCCTCCTCGAGGGTGCCCCAACCCTGGGAATGGGCGGGGTCGTCCAGAGCAATGGAACACATCGTAAGTGCCAAAATGAGCCCCATGCGCACCTGTCCGGTTCCCCCCACTTACACGCGACAATAGCCATCAAGCTCCTCATCTCCCACAATCAGATGGGCACCATCATCGGCAGGGAAGGTCTGAAGATCAAGCACATCCAAGACGTCTCTGGCGTCCGCATGGTTGCTCAGAAGGATATGCTGCCCCAGTCTAACGAGAGGGTGGTTGAGGTCCAGGGCACGCCAGAGGGCATCCAGAGGGCTGTGTGGGAGATCTGCAAGTGTCTGATAGATGACTGGCAGCGTGCCACAGGAACCGTTCTGTACAACCCCGCTGTCCGGACGCAACCCGGCGGCGCACCGCCACTGACCACCGGAGGACCTGGTTACAACAGCACTGGCGCCAGGGGTGACTACGGCAGCAGCCCCAGGGTCACACGCACTGGAAACGGCGCCGACTTCAGCAACGGCAGCACCCCGCGTTTGTACAACCGCCGCTCCGATTCGGACGCAGCGAACCGAGGCCCTCCAACTCACGACGAGAATGGCGAGGAGATCCAGACCCAGAACATCAGTATCCCCGCCAACATGGTTGGATGTATCATCGGCCGGGCCGGCAGCAAGATTAGCGAGATCCGGAAAGCATCAGGCGCCCGTATCTCCATCGCAAAGGTACTACCATGTCGCTTGGCTCAGTCCGAGTTGTGTTTTCCCGCTAACGCGTTGTTCTTTTTGTGACCAGGCTCCTCATGACGAGACGGGCGAGCGCATGTTCACCATCATGGGCTCTGCCAAGGCCAACGAAAGCGCTCTGTTCCTGCTCTACGAGAACCTCGAGGCTGAGAAGATACGCAGGAGCCAGGCCACCCAGCCCGAGTAAATCGGGTTTCGTGGTGTGATGTTCTGCCAGACAGCCACGCAACACTGCACCCTCTGCTCCAGCCCGAACATCTCTGCGTTTTACCTCTGGGGCTCTTTCTCCGCACACGAACCATCTCATCTCACTGGGTCCTCTAATTCTTGTTCTTTCTCGGTCAGACTTTGGTAATCCCTTCGTTTTCTCCGAAGCATATCCAGACCTGACTTGCCGCAAGGCTGACTGACCCATTTTGGCGGGCCGGGACGGCGACACCACGATGCGATGACAATTTTTTATTGCTCGACCTACTCACTCCATATCGGACTCTATCATGTTCCCTCCCCTTATCTCCGCCAAAAACAAAACAAATCTACCCCACTCGAAAAAAAAAGAAGAAAAGAAAAAGCCTTGAAAAAAAAAGATCGAAGCAAATCGCAACGGTCATGGCAGGACACATCCTGAAATCACCGACCCTGTCTCACTCATTCAACCCGGATCCTCTCCTCCCATTATCATCTCTTTTTTTCCACCACCATCGCACGGGCTCCACTGACGAAGATTGGTCGACAATGATGACTGAACGACGACGGACAGGGTCCAGTGCCCTGGATACGACTGATGCGATGATTTCGCACGAAATTATCCCCTCGGCAGGTTATCAGTATATGCCAGCTTTGGCATGGACTGATTTTTGCCCTTTTTCGGGTTCGCTCTTGTCGTGTATCCAAGTTTTCCATCTTGGACCCGATGCAGAGGCTAGAAACACACGATTAGCCTCACTGCTTTGATGCATCGGAGGACTTTTCGCGAGATGCCCTACCGCTGCTTTTCCTTGCCTCGGCTCGAATCGATGTTCTCGTCACGGACTTGCCCCTCCCGCCTCGCCGTCGCCGAGTCTGCTCGGTTGTCTGCCTGTATTCATCCCCTGCTCCATCATGAAGCCCGGGCGCCCGCATTATCAACGGAACTTTGCACGTTCGTAAAACGTGTCCTCCTGTACCTGAAAGCAGACATTCTTGTACCCGCGCAGTTTTTGAGGTTGAACACACGGTTTGGACCAGACATAGGCGGAATTCCGGAGCGAAATCCCCCCCCCCCCCAAAAAAAAAATCCCCCCAAAAGATTTTACCATAGCAATAGTGCCCGTCATCCATATCCTCGTTCTCTTTTTTTTCTTTTTCCCCAGCCGACTCTTTGTCTCGCTGACGTTGTTATACTCGATCGTGGCTATGATGTTTTATCGGAAAAGACAAGGTCGTCGAATCGTGCAATGCTTACGCTTGGAGACAATCAGGGGATGACAATGCCCGAGGCGGACTTTGTAAGCCTGCGGAGGCAGTTGACAGTGATTCGATGTTCTCGAGTCGCTTTATGATAGCCTCGTATTAGTTGATAAATCAAGGCTAGACGTAGAGGTACCTACCCTGACTACCCGTGCTACCTCCCGATGCACAAGGCTAAGCTCTAGTCCCAGTTGAGCGCCAAGACGAAGGGTCCAGCAGGCGGTAGATGGGCGTCCGAACCAATAACAGCGGGGTGCCTGGCGGGCTAGCTGCCGGCGGGGCATGCGTCCGATAACGGATAAGCATAAAAATAGCAGCCTGCCCCTGCCCTGGACGCGGAGACATGGCGCCCCGGATCTTAGGGGAGTTCCAGCGATGATGCCAGCTTGTCAGCTTTGCGACCGCGATTCCTTCCTTCGATCGCGTCGCCTCTCAACGTTCGCCTTTCCTTTCTCCTTTCGTCCCTGCCTCCAGTCCTCTTCCGCCACACTCACTGCCTCCAATTGAATCGACCGTCCCATTCCCGACCCTTTCGTTCACCGACCAGCCAGCACCTCGATTGGTCGCAGTTATGGCGCGCGTCAAGCAGGCACGGCCCATACAGCGGGAACTCTCGTCAGAGTTCATCAGCAAGCACGACCGACCACCACCGCCAGGCGCGGAAAATGCGAAGGCCAAGGCCGAGAGCAGAGCCGTGGCGGCGGCAGACACGCGCCCAGAGGCGGGGGTGGTGCAGCTCATGGTTGCTGTCGCCGGCATCTACGGCTCCTTGTAAGTTATTTTTTTCCAGAGGGTCGCGACCCGGCTTCCTTGATGCGCTCGCTCGAGGGCAGCGCTAGAGCTGACCGACGCCGCTTCTGTCGCCCTCCCACAGCCTCACCTGGGCCTATCTCCAAGAGAAGCTCACGACGACGCCGTACGGGCCCCCGGCCGCCCCGGAGGTGTTCAAGTTCCCCGTCTTCCTCAACACGATCCAGTCGGGCTTCGCGGCCCTGACCGGGCTCGTCTACCTGGTGGCCAGCACGCCCAAGGGCAAGGCCGTGCCGCCTGTGATACCCGCGCGGTCCATGCTAGGCCCGCTGCTGCTGGTAGCGCTGACGACGGCGCTGGCGAGCCCGTTTGGCTACGCGAGCCTGGCCCACATCGACTACATCACCTTCCTGCTGGCCAAGTCGTGCAAGCTGCTGCCCGTCATGTTCCTGCACGTCACCATCTTCCGCAAGCGCTACCCCATGTACAAGTACCTCGTCGTCGCCGCCGTCACGGCCGGCGTCGCCGTCTTCACGCTGCACAGCGGCAGCAGGAAGGGCGGCCACAAGAAGGCCGCCAGCGCCGCGTCCTCGTCGGGCCAGACGGCCTGGGGCCTGCTCCTGCTTGGCATCAACCTGCTCTTCGACGGCCTGACCAACGCGACCCAGGACCACATCTTCACCGCCTTCCGCCCCTACTCGGGCCCGCAGATGATGTGCGCTAACAACCTCATGGGCGGCGCTGTCACCGCCGCCTACCTGCTGCTGAGCCCCTGGCTGGTCGGCACCGGCCTGGGCGAGTGGCTCGGCATGGACGCCGCCGGCGGCGCCGGCGAGCTGCAGGCCGCCCTCGCCTTTATGCGCCGCTACCCGTCCGTCTGGACCGACGTGCTCGGCTTTGCCGCCTGCGGTGCTGTCGGGCAGGTGTTTATCTGTGAGTCGTCTCCCGCGCAACTGTCTCTGTTGCTACTACTGCTGCTACTGCTGCTGCTGCTGCTGCTGCTGCTGAAGACAACTTTGGACCTGATTCTAACCCCCCGGTCGTGCGTATACAGTCTACACCCTGGCCACCTTCTCGTCCGTCCTCCTCGTCACCGTCACCGTGACGCGCAAGATGTTCACCATGATGCTGTCCGTTGTCGCCTTTGGCCACCGCCTGACCAGCATGCAGTGGCTGGGCGTCGGCCTCGTCTTTGGCGGAATCGGCGTCGAGGCCGCCATTGCGCGCCAGGAGAAGATGGCCAAGGAGGCCGCCAAGAGGGACAAGGCCCAGTAACTACCGACACCAAGATACATTCATATGTCCATATAGAACCATCAGATTTCTTCTTTTTCTCTGTCACGTCCCCTCGATAGATCTTTTTGCTTTCTTTTTGCCTATAAGGAATAAACAAAGTCAGACACATCTACTATCCAAGCTTCAAGAGGTAGGCTAGGCACCAGGGTGATGCTAATACGCAAAACTTCAACTCTCGATTGGTCTGTAACTTGTGTGCCAAAGCCGGGCTTTGTTGCGGTGGCTTTTTTTGTCAGTCGGATTACTGTAATTAGTGTTGGTTTACCCCTGCGGTGCTCGTGCGCCTTTCGGAAGAGGAAGCGAGGCTAGAGATCGGCCACCTCGATACCCATAGAACAGCGCCTACGAGTAGAAGGCCGACCATCTAGAGAACTATATTCTATTTATATAAACCCAACCTTTTAAGCATCCGTTTTAGCACGTAGGTTTCTTCCCCCTTTGGGCACTATGACACGGAAGGCCCTACGCCAGATCATCAGACCATTTTTGCCCACACGTTAGGAGATCCGCGAGCCGGAAAAAAAAAACCCCCCCATACCCGGTCACGTTCAACAATCAAGATGATGAGTGGCAGTCCAAGATCCCTGACACCTCATGCGAATGCCGAGCAAGGGCCCCACCAACGGTCGGAATATATCCACCGAGTATAGAGTAGGGCAAAAGGGGAAGGCCGAGTACGGGGCGAGAGATTGAGGAAGTGGAAACGCATCATGAGTAGACGAACACGTAAAACAACCACAAACAGTCTGATGGGCGAGGCAGGACGCCACGCACAGGTGATGCCAAGGTCGGATCAGATGACCGCGACCGCTTTTGGCTGTAGTTGCATCGAAAATGGACGTGCAGCAAATCTGTCTCATCCCAACGCACTCTGTAGTTCGTTCCGGGCAGGCAGGTAGGCGGGGAGATTTTGGTGTGCAAACTATGTTTTTTTTATATCTTTGTCTGGGTAGGGTTGTCAGATCCCCAATGCTAGCCAAGTCAAAGACAAGGAGTTGTCTGGAGAATGCCCTTTACTTCCTTCGTATTCCCACTTTCCCCTAAAAATTTCTATCCTCATAACTCAACAAACAAGCAAGCGTAGAGTTTTATGAAGATAAAGCTATGCCTCCTGGGCATTGCTATAGTGACCTCATTCTCCAGAACTCCTAAACATTGGCGTGGTGGGTATACAGGCGCACACCGACGGATGAACTTCTCATCAATACATGGCTGACACGGGGGGCGTGGCAAAAAGCACGGGAAAGGCGTCAAAGAGGTCAAATTTAAAAGATAAAACGATGAGCTTGTTTGTCGGAGCCCTTTATTCCCAAAGGCGCCGGTCCCCTTCCCAGTAGAGTAGCCTCACATACATAGAGTGACAGAAGAATGCGTGTGTTGGGTGCCACCCCGCCCCCCTTTGGTGTCTCCTCAAGATTACACATTTCGATTTAGAGTCAGGCTGTTAGGAAACACAAAGGGAACGAGAGAATAGAATATGGAGAGAATATAGCGAAAGGATTCTCTCGTGGTTTGCCGCCCTACCAGTTCGTCGCCCGCTGTGCTTGCTCGCGCGTCGGGGAATGGCGAAGACAAAGTTTGACAAACGAAAGCATCTTCATGGACACTTGCAGAAAAAGAAAAGGATAAGACAAATGGAATAGTTGTGATATGGTAGCTATGCTGGCGATGCTCAGGACAGTGTTTGCCAGTTGTTGAGTAGCCAGAGTGGTGAGCGTATTTTGTGCTTAGAGAAGTTCGTCGATGGATCGGACTATAGGTGTCTCGCCTTTTATTGGTGGGCTACGCGGGTCCGCAACTTGTGTAGGCCGCGCGAATGGGCGAAATGGATCCCTCGGGAACATTGTCTCGCGCGGTGAAAAGAGACCATCCGGCGTCGGAGGGACCTCGACTAGACGCATCCCACCGAAGTCGGCTCCGTGGAATGGTGCAGGGTGAAGAGGGTTGCTCGTCATCGTCTCGACTCGAGGTGACATCAGGGCATCATCGTCGTCAAAGGTCACCGCCGGCATGATCCCAACCTGCGCTGCTGTCGAAGGCGCTGGCTCACGCTTCTGCGGTTGGGTCACTTCCGGTCGGCTATCCGTGCTGAGAGGCACGAAACCTCCCAAGTTACCGAAGCCTGCGAGCGATCCAAAGCCGTTATGACTGGAGTCGCTCTGCTTCTGGAACCTGTGCGCACCAAATCCAGGCGAGGGTGGGGGTCTCCCGAACGACGATGGCGCGAAGCCCGGTGATGATGGGGGCATGGACAATTCAATGGGAGCAAGTCCATGGGACGAGGATGGTTTTGATAAAGAGAGGGGAGCCAGGCTAGGAGCAAAACCTGGAGATGGCGGGGGTCTCATGGGAGCTGGCGGGGCGAACCGAGGGAAAGGGGCCGCCCCTAACCCAGAAGGAGCAAATCCAGGGGATGGAGGCGGGCGTGATAATGAGATTGGCTCAAATCCTAGCGAAGAGGAGGGCATTTGCAGCGATGTGGACTTGATGGGGCTGGGAGAATCTCGGACCGCAGACAGGGCAGAGGGCTTGCAGACGTTGTCCATGTTGAAGCGTCCAAACTTTCCGGGATCGCGCTCATCTTCCTTTTCCGACCAAGAGAAGCTGGATGGGGCCGAAGAGGGGCCAGGGGATACAGGCTGGCCGGGCGTAGAAGCTCCACGCGCCCTGAGAGGGCTCTTTTCGGGGCTCCGGTCAGAGTTAGCCTCGTCAGGGAGCGGCGCGGTCAGCGGCTCCTTGGGAGCGATCTCGATAGCATCAACCGAGAGCGCTGCGCGGTGGTTCTTGGTCGGGCTCTTGCCTACGCGGGGCCGCAGAGCAGAGGCAGGCGTAAGCCTCCGCCTGGACACTTCCTTCTGGAAGTCCTGCAAGCAGTACATGAGACGCATGTTGGGGCTGATCCACCTGCTCTTGGCCTGGGCAGCGTAGTAAGCGTCGTTGACGGTCAACTCCGGGTTCTGGTACATGCCATAGGCGATGATCAGACTGGCGGATCGACTTGCGCCCTGTTGGCAGTGGATCAAGACCTTCTTTCCATCTCGAGTCTTGTGGTCAATCACCTCGCAGAGGTTCATGAGATCCGGGGCTATGTCGGTGTTGTGATCCCAAGGCATGTGGATGTACTCGGGCTGCCTAGCCGGGCTGAGGACCTTGGGCGTGGTCGGGGTCGCGGCGTCATCCAAGGGGAACTCGAAGGCAGTGCTGAAGCTTGCGGTTGTCACAGCGGTGTCTGGGATCGGTGAGTCACTCTGGGGCAGGGTTGCCTTGGCGTGAAACGGGTTGTGAACCTCGCGCGCGACGTTGATGACGACGTCAAATCTTGACGCCACCTCGGCCGAGGGCTCCGAAAACAAAAACACGTCATCTCTGTAGATGGCTATCGGACCGTTTGGATAGCCAGGAGACTTCTGGTCCTCGTTTTTCTCAACCTCGTGATACGGCTCGAAGTCAAAAGCTGCTCGGTTCGCGACCTGCGCTCGAATCGGCGACTCTTCTTCGGGAATGGTGGAGCCGAACGTCGGTGGCGGCGCAGAAGGCTTAGATGGGCGTAAAAACTCGGAAAGACCAGACTCGTTGCGCTCGAGAACGGTGGGGATGGTCATGCCACCGACCGGGCCAAAGGTAGCTGATTTGAGACCCGAGAGCATGTGTGGTGACGAAGTCGAGTGTTTAAGCGCGCGCCTCTGGAGAATTGGGGGGATCGAGAGGATTGGCGACGAAGGAACCTCTAGCAAAGGAGCCGGCTTGTGCAGATCTTGTGAGCTTGTCTTCAGGCTAAGCTGGCTAGGCTTGCGCTTCATCGCCGGGATTGTGGGCTTGATGAAAACCGGAGATGATGGCTCAGAAACTAGTGTTGAGGATAGAGAGTTTGTGAAAGGCGGTTGTATTGAGAGCCCTTTCATGTTGCGCGGCCGCCTGGGTCCAGGCGAAGTCATTGGCCGCTGGGTAGGCTCCGAGACGCTGAGAGAAGCCATGGATGACAGGCCTCCGAAGGTTGGGCCGGGGAAGGAAGAGAGAGGGATGAGGTTGTTGATGGGAGAGTCCGGGGAGGACGAGGGAGACTGATCCGAAAGGGACGAAGAATCGGTACACGATGCAGTCGTTGTCGGGGACGAGTCTGCCGATCCGGTGATCTGGGTCGAGGTGCTATCGTGGTGCTTGTGCAGGTGGTCGGATGGGATGGCGGCTGGGTGAAGAGGTTGTTGCTGGCCCGACAGCTTGGTCTCGGGCGAGTCGATATCCATCATTTTAGAATCCACAACTGTGATGGCACCCCTGTCGTCCATAGCCTCAGACTCGATGTCGAAAACTGACATGAACGAAGGGATCTGATCCTCATACAATCGCCTGGCTGCAGCTGAAGGCATCATCGGCCCGTCTGCCGTCTCGTTCTGGCCTTCCTGCCGTAGGCGCCTCCTCTTGCTTGCCTGCGCCAGTGGCCGCCGCGCGCTGTTGAGCCAACTCGTGTCTGTCCTGAACAAGTCCGTCGATCTTTGCCTGTGACTCGGGGTCAAAAAGAGCGTTCTGATGGGGTCGCGAATGGGGACAGCTCTGCTGAATCCTCCAGCGAACCACAGCCCAGTATTCTCTCGTCAACACGATCAGAGCCGAGCTGGTCGTGTGGCGCGCAGGTGAAGTGAAGCGAATGTCGCAAAATGCCAATTCCACCTGAAGCCGGGTCCAGACCTCTTAGACAACGGCAGAGTGAGAAACGAAGAGAGCAACCCGCTTTGTTGTTGTCAAGACAGCGTGCCTGCGGGGGGCGCCAGGACCCGAGTGCGAGCAGGCTATCGGGAGAGTGGGAGAGGATTGTCGAGGGTTCGGGCAGAGATCAAGCGTCAGCACATTGTTGGAGGTGGACAAAGGGCGCGGGTTCAATTAACAAGAAGAGAAGGAAAAAAAGAAAGAAAATGTCGAGGACAAGCGGGAAAGAAGAAAAAAAACCCGAGAGCGACAGCGAGATCGAGGTTTCTGGTCGGCAATTAGGTAGCGTCGACGGGGTTGATGGCGTGTTGGCAGGAATGCCGCGTCTCTATTCTCTTGTTTTGTGCTTTGTGTCAAGGGAAGAAAATAAGTGAGTAAAAATAGAGGGAGAAGTGGGAAAGAGAGACAACAGGAAGGGGGGTGGAGAGAAAGATTCAAGATCGTGGGCAATGGCGGTTTGAAGGATGGTGGTGGTGTGGCGGAAGGCGAGGGAAAATGGTTCATAGGGTGTGTGGGCTGGGGCCTGCTGGCGGATGGGGCCTCCCCCCTGAAGGCGGCGGGCAGCGGTTTGGATGGGCGTGCGGACACGCAGGCTGGGATGGATCCGAGGCGGCTTCTCGCTTGGTTACTGGGGTGGCCGTTTGTGGGCTGCGCGGAGAGGGCGACAACAGCTGGGAGACGGGGAAATCCAAGGTTGTGGGAGATGGGAGGAGGACTGGAAACAGCGGACGGAAGGCCGCCTCCACTGCCTGTGCTCAGATGTTGCCCGCCTCGGAGGGAACGAGGGACCAGACAAGAAAAGAACAATTCGACCAGGGGTCGCTGCTCAATGCCACATGCGACCAGCAGGCCCCACCTGCACAGCCGGCGGCTGGCCAATGGGGGCCGGCCCTCACGGCCCTTGGCTGGCTTCGCAGACGGGCCCTCAGAGGGGGGGTCACTGGGGGGTGGTGGCAGGGGTGGCATCGGCCCCAGCGGGCGGCGGGGCTTGGTTGCTGGCTGCCGCTGCTGGCCTGCGCTAGGTACCGCCTCCCTCGGTCGCTCAACAGTCACGGGCGGGTTGGCGAAACAAGTGGCATGCCTAGCACGTACATGCTGTGACCGGCTATTAATAGCAGCCCACAAGGGAAGTTGGCGCCTGCCACTGGCCAATCACGCGCCCGCGCTGATACTCGAGCGCGCAGGCGACAATTAAAGCCTCGCGACTCGCCAGGCGTGCCACCCCTGTCTCCCCGACCCCTCGGTCCAAGGACAGAGTGAAATCACACCTCGCAGCCAGCCGAGCCAGCCTACCCGCGCCGCCGCAACTGATTCCCTTTATTCTAACCGCCACGACCGGAGATAGCGAGGGAGGTCCAGAAGGGCCCCCCGCGCCGGCGGCATATTGCAGGTGTTGTGATGCTGGAGATGTAGGTAGGCATGAGTAGAGCGCCCTGAGTTGTCGCAAGCCGGGTTGTTTTTGTCAAGCACTGTTCGCGCGTACAGCTAGGAATAGGCGAGAGGGATCTGATGTGTGAGTGGATGTATGAGGGCTGCACATGCGGGCAGGTGGAATCGTTTGCTGGCGGCCAAAAGACTTCTTCATCACCACTTGCGGGACGCACGACCTGCTGGATGATCAATCAATTCAATGGCGATCTGGAACCGGAAAGCGCAAATCAATGGCGCAAAAACGCTCGCCCCTCCATTTATCTCACCCGAGCTGGCCTCCTGACCCTGCACCAGCGCAAACAAGACGCGCTCACTGCCGTGTCGCCTGCCCGCCGTCTGTCAGGCAAAATTGACTTGGAGCCAGGCAACTCAGCTGTGCGTCTAGCGCTTGCAGGCACCTGAGCGGAGCGCTAAAAAGACTTCGCCTCGCGAGCTGCCTCCCCGTGTTTGGAAGCACGGCAATGAGCACGTGCCCACCCCTTTCAGACACCCACCCGGGCTTAATTCACACCGGCATGCAAACAAATTTGCCTTCTGTCTGTTTCTGCCCAGATTCCATCATGGGTGGTTTCACAGAAAGTCAATTGCCCGCCTGTCTGAGTCCGAGAACCTCAGCCGTGTTTACAATCCTGCCATTCCGGCATGACTGTATATGTTGCTTGGGGCTTTGCTTCGCGTCTACGTGGGCGGGCTTACCGCCTCGGATCGCTCTTACGGCAATCATGGGAACTCCCATCATCACGTTCAGTGCCGGGGGGAGTACCTATTTGCCCATCTGGTTCCAAAACAAGCTTGGGTCCGCGGAATTTATCCCTTGAAAGCAAGATCTGCGAGCGGGCACTCAGCGGGTGGCACTCGGGCGGGCACATACCTAGAAACACGCGGACGGATTTGCGTCTTGGTCGCATCCTTCTCTCATTCCTGAAGGCGCGCAGCGCAAGGTCGATGGCGCACTGTCTCGAAGCACAGTCCCGCGGCGCAATCAGCCAGATGGAGAGACAGTATGTCGGGCCGTGTGAGGAGGGCTCGCGCAGGTGGGCAGATGAGGTCTTTTTTCTTCCCTCGCTCGGCGCTAAACCCACGACAGGAATCGGCAGGGAACCCGTGCCCAAGATCGACTCCTACTTTTCACCCCTTGACAGATGTGAAACAGCAGCGGAGATTGGCCCCGCCGCAATTGGAGCAGTCGTTGTCCCGCCGAATTCTCGACCCACACAGCAGCCGTCACATCGCCGCGATTGTGTGCTCCCTGCAAGTCAGCGCTCCGCAGCCGCAACCAACCAGCCTTGTCGCAATCAATTGCGCAAATCTGGCCCGAACAACTCGAACAGGTTTCCCAGCTGCTAATTACCGCCGCAGCCTGCATATGGCCATTTTAGGTCCCTACAAATGCGCACTGCTCGCCCGCCAAACTCCCTGTGCGCGGCGTCAGTAATCTCCAATCTCTGGCCGGTTGCACAGCCACATCTCAGTTCCTCAATCGTCGGAGGTTTCGACTCAGCTTCAGCCAGCACCCCGGCGAAGCGCATAGGGGACCACTCGCTTAGGCGGAGATCTCTCTTGGGACGCAGCAGACAAGTGCTCATCGCATCTACGGAGGTGTCAGGCAAAAGTTTTCGCCGCGGGGCATGTATCGACCAGGACAGTGCGTGTTCAGCTACTACCAAATAAGGCCTAGCTTACATGTTTTTCAAAGTCAATCACAGGTTCAGTGCTGTAAAAATATGTTCATTTATGAATTTCTATGCGTTGCTATTGGTCGTGGCATACCCCGGCCCCCTGCCTCGCCTCGGGAGCGACCTGCCACACGGCGAAAACTTTTGCCTCACACCTCCGTACACGTCCGCAGGGAAGCCCTCCAGGCGGCATGACCATGTTCAATCCAGGTACTACGGAGATTCCGCATCCCCATAGGGCAGGCAGTTCAGGGACCAAGGCGCGTAAAAACAACCCGTCCCGGTGAGAAGCCGAAAAGGGAGCGGGGGGTGCAGAGAATGGGGGAGGAAAGGGAGCCCGGGGTAAGGCTGCCGATGGGTTGGACCGGTGTGATCCCAATTGGGCCGCGGGATCGCAAACGTCACTTATTCTCCGTCTATGTTTATGCGCACGACATACGGGACGCAGAGTGACATGCCCAGCCTAACATTGGGGGGCAGAGCCTGATTCTCTCATGGGCTGGACGGCTTTCGCCGCAACACTCTCCGAGGACCTCCTCCGAGGAAAAAAAGGGGCGACGGGCGAGATCGAGATCGAGCCCCACGGCGGGTTCAGGAGCACGGGAGAGGCTCGTGATTCATCTGTGCTGCGCCATTCGCCTGTGACTTTTTTTGCCCACGCTCACCCCGTGGCAAATGCGCCGCGTCACAGTCTTCGTCGAGCAGTTTTACACATCACATGGGCTGGCGTCTTGTCCCTCGCAAAATCGCTTCGCGCGCGTTCGTTGGTCCTGCTTAGCATATGGGGCATTGGTTCGTCCGATGCATATCCATCATTGGGGCTCTGCGGCTCCGCCAGGCCGCGGCGAAGGCCGGTCACGACACTACCGTACCCGTCGCGCGCCCCATCACAACCCTTTCGTCAGCCCGACTTTGAAGCATGAATGTCGCGTGCTGACGTTTGTTCGCTGACTTGGCCTCGATAGCCGAACCCCTCTCCGTTTCTCACCCCGTGCTAGCCTCTTCCTTCCACGTCGCCCTCCCTTGTTTGCCACGCGCCCCTCTTCGAGCCTCATCCTGCCGCGCCCACCTGGGTGTGTGCCCACCCCGTGATCAGACTGATTTATGCCGATCAAACAAGATCACACCGCATCACAAAAAAGCATCCCCATCGACAGTCGATAGGCTAAAGCCGACGACCCCACCAACGGGGCGAGGGGACCAGGACACTCAGGAGGTAACGTGCAAGGACTTCACCGCCATCGGCAATGCGTACATCGCCGGATCTTGCCGGTTCCCGGCATGACGCCGGCAAAGCCAAGTAGGTGGTGGGATGACGGTCATGGGAAGCCCTGTTTGGTCATCTGAGAGTGGGGGTTCGCTCGGAGCTGCCACCTTGCTTTGAAGAGCTGACATGATGGAGGAAACGCGCACCTGAGGGACCTTTCTTTTTTCTTGCTTTCCTTCCCCCCTCCCCCCCTTTTTGCTTGTCTCAACATGCATCAACCTCCACCTCAGGCGTGTCGCTGATTCTGACAGAGCATGAGTTGACGGGGAGTCCCCGGAACAGAAATTAGGGCTGATGCTGCTTGATTCTATCGAGCAAATAGCAAGACCGGTCCTGCCCCTATTTGTGTAGTTCACGGATGTGCCCCCTTTTTGGGGATTTTTATTCCTTCTATCATGTCATTGCGTCCTGCACTTGCTTGTTCTCGTAGTCGCTTATTCCCATTTTGTCCCTCCCCCTACTTATCTTCCCTTCATCTTATGGTTATTCAGCGAAGCCACAACACCGCCAGATGCCGAGCTTGCGAGGCGGAGGCGGTCACGGTATCCGGAAAATAGTCTGGACCGCAATTTTTTTCCCCACCCATCCCAACACAATTGCACCAGCACCAAAGCCAAACAACATGCCCGCGCACCACTCTACACCT